AGATAGGTTTTGTATTAGATTCGTGTCAATTTCATAGTTGAAAAAAATGTATTTGATTCAAGTAACCGATTACTTCAGGGTTGCGACAAAAGTTTAACTTTGTTTTTCCCTGATTTTCAGACAGAATTTTCACTTTTTCCCTGACACTAAAGAATATTCTGATTCACTCTAAAAATTATTAGAAGATCAAAAAAATGTTCGAATATTTGTGAATTTCTTTTAATTGTAAAATTATTCGAAAACAATTGTTTTATTTATCATAATTATTAATTAATTATTATTTTTCGATTGAAATTCAGATTTTCAAAAATTTCAAATTCAAACCTTTTTAAAATTAAACATAAAAAATTGTTAAAAAAACATGAAGAAATCGATCACTCTGAGTCTTCGACTCTGAGTAATCCATTTCTTCATGTTTTTTTAACAATAAAAGCTAATAATAAAAAATAAAATAAAAAATAAAATTATTAAAATAAAATAATAAAAAAAAAAAAATTATTTTATAAATATTGTTACTTTTAACTTCTTCGAAATTATTTTCATCATTTAAATTCAATTATTATTTTCTAAAATTTTTAACTAAAATTCTTCTTTAAATCAATTATTATATTTAAAAGAACGAAAAATTTAGATTTCCAAAGATTTTAATTTGAAACCTCTTTTTCAAATAATTGAATTGTATCAACGAATTTTAATAAAATTTTTAAGAATAATTACTTTTTGCGAAAAAAAATATGTAAAATATGTAAAAATATTGTATTTAGGTAAAAATAATTCAAAATTCTGTGACGAGTTTGATTATTTGTGAAAATAATTGAATCCCTAAGAAGAATTTTTATTACTTTTGAACAATATTTAGAAAAAAAAAAACAATTTTTGAAAAAGTTCTTTAAGAATTTTCAAATTCATTTGTTTACAATTTAATTTTACAAAATTTCAATTATTCGTAAATTCTTTAATTAAATATATATTAGAAAATAAAAACTTTAAATAATTTCAAAATAAAATCCGCAATTAAAGTTTAAAAAAAAATTAATTTCACAGAATTGTTAGTTAAAAATATGAAAAATTCGAATTTTTAAAGATTTTAATTTGAAACCTTTTCAAAATTCAATTATTTCTAAAAATTCACGCTATAATGCTTTTAATATTAAATTATTATCTAAAATTTTAACCGAAATTTATTTTTAAATCAATTTTTATTATAAAATTCTACGAAAATTCAATTATTTAAATACAAAAAAAATATTTTATACAATAATTGAATTTTATAACAATTTTTGAAAATAATTGAAAACTTTTTGAAGAATTTTATTAAAATTTTTTAAAATAATTGAATTCCTGAGAAGAATGTAACTAATAATTTATGAAAATAATTGAATTCATGTGATGAATTTTATTATAAATTTTGTTTAAAATTTAAATAATTGAAATTTTGACAAGAATAAGTTTTTTTTTAATTTTTGACAAAAAAAATTATTATTTAAAAATAAAAAATTATTATTATTATTTATTAAATTAATTCTTGAGAAGAATTTCGCTACCAATTTATAAAGATAATTTAATTATTGATGAGAATTTTTAAAAAATTTTGAGAATAATTTAATTTCTGCAAAGTATTTTATTACTTTTCAAAAGAATTGAATTCTTCTAAAAAATTTTGATATTAATCAAAATAATTGAATTTTGGAAACAAATGTTATTAAAATTCCTTAAAATAATTGATTTTATGGGGAGAATTTTGTTGTTTAACAAGATAATTGAATTCTTTTGCAGAATTACTTAAACATTTTTTTTCAAAATAATTGATTTCCTGAGACGAATTAAAAAGTTATTTATGAAAATAATTGAATTATTGCAACAAATTTTATTATTTTATTCAATAATTGAATGTTTCTTAAATTTGAATTCAAGTTTTAATAAAATTTTTAAGAATAACTGCATTTTTCGAGGAATTTATTTAAAATTGTATTAAAAATATTTAAAAATTCTGTCGTAAAAATAATTGAATTCCTAAATAAAATTTTCTCATTTATGAAAATAATTGAATGTTTTCGTAGAATTTTGTAAAAAAATTTCTTCAATAATTAAATTTTTTGATAAATTTTATGAAAATAGTGAATATTGAAAATTATTGAATTGCGAAAAACGTTTTAAATTAATTGAAATTTTGCAAAGAATTTTATTTAAGTTTTTGAAAATAAATGAATTTTCGGTGAAAAATTTTGCAAAAAATTTTTTATAAAGATAATTTAATTCTTGACGAGATATTCGTTCAAATTTTGGAAAATAATTGAATTTCTACCAAGAATTTTATTAGTTTTAAAAATAATTGAATTCTTGTAATGAATATTGTTATTTATGAAAATAATTGAATTTTGCAAAGAATTTTATTTAAATTTTTGAAAAGAATTGAATTTTCGGTGAAAAATTTTGCTATTTACATAAAGATAATTGAATTCTTGACGAGATATTCGTTCAAATTTTGGAAAATAATTGAATTTCTACCAAGAATTTTAGTAGTTTTAAAAATAATTGAATTTTGCAAAGAATTTTATTTAAATTTTTGAAAAGAATTGAATTTTCGGTGAAAAATTTTGCTATTTACATAAAGATAATTGAATTCTTGACGAGATATTCGTTCAAATTTTGGAAAATAATTGAATTTCTACCAAGAATTTTAGTAGTTTTAAAAATAATTGAATTTTGCAAAGAATTTTATTTAAATTTTTGAAAAGAATTGAATTTTCGGTGAAAAATTTTGCTATTTACATAAAGATAATTGAATTCTTGACGAGATATTCGTTCAAATTTTGGAAAATAATTGAATTTCTACCAAGAATTTTAGTAGTTTTAAAAATAATTGAATTCTTCTGATGAATATTGTTATTTATGAAAATAATTGAATTTTGCAAAGAATTTTATTAAAATTCCTAAAAATAATTGATTTTCTGGAAAGAATTTTGATATTTATAAAGATAATTGAATTCTTGACGAGATATTCGTTCAAATTTTGGAAAATAATTGAATTTCTATACCAAGAATTTTATTAGTTTTAAAAATAATTGAATTCTTGTGAAGAATCTTGTTATTTATCAAGATAATTGCATTAAAACTTTTGAAATAATTAAATAATATTAAAAAAATTCATTCTTCTGTCAGATATAGAAAAAAATTTGGAATAAAATAATTTTTTTTAAGTCAACTAAATTGTATAGGAATAAATAATTTCAGTACTTGAAGCAAATACAATTTAATATTGTCTCCAATAAAAGTTATTTGATTCAAGTAAATATTTAATTAGTAATAGTTAAGTAATCAGTTATTTAAATCAAATAAAATTTTTTTCCTTGTATAAGGCAAACAAAAATGACAAAAAAATTCAGTTTTAAGTTTAAAAATTTTTGAATTCGGAGCTAATTTTAAAAATTAAATTTTTGTCCTGTACTTTTTTATAGTAAAATTCCCCGACTTATCTCCCTGAATTGAAATGAATATTCCAGAAGTAAATAGCAAAATATTCCAAGCAGTATAATCGTTGATGCGTATAGTGTATTATTGATTTTTCTCTGAGGGTTTTTTTTTGTCACAACTGCAGTGTGCACTTTACACATTAAACGATATAATGTTTAGTCAGCAGCATGGTTGGCAGGCAGGCAGGCCTCATGGGCCTCTCTGACGTCATTGCCAGTGTGCGTCGAGATATTGGGGTGGCATAAGGACCCCTGAATGTTTTGTGGGGTGACAGATTACACATTTCGCCCAGCCATTGTATTTTCAACATAATGCTTTGGACCTGTCTCTCGCACGCATCGACTTTGCATTGTTCTCGACACGAATTGCATTTTTCTTCTTCCTATTTGCCCCCTCCCCTCTCTACCCGGAGCATTTTGTTTAGTGTGTCGAAGGCACTCATGCACGTAAATCTCTCTCTTAATAACACAACTTCTGTGTCGTTTTGTCGTTTTGTCATTTATACTATAAAACATACATATATCTCTAGAAATCAAAAAAAAATCTCTTTCAATATCGCTGCGAGCTTTTCACACTTCATCGGATGAAAAAGATTTTTCATTCATTTCAAAAATCTCAAGAATATTGCATTGTTCAAAAGTATTATTTATACCTTTTTTGTGTCAAGGAGAAAAAATACTTTAAAAATTCAAGAATAAAAGTTGATTAAAATTGTGAAAAAAAATTCTCTGCAGGTGATTCTTTTTATTTTGGGGAAAAAACACACGCTCGCATTTATTGTATTATCTCTCGTCTTTCTCGCTCTTAAGGTTTATTAAAGCATGTTTCAATATTTATTTGAACGGCAGATGAATTTCGGAGATTTTTTTTTACACTGTGGAACAAATATTAAATTGAAAAAAAAACAGTTTTAATGAAGTGCATCCTGTTTCAATAGAGGTTTATTAATGGTGAAGCAGGTGGAGGTGTGTTTGCTTTTGCTTCTAAACGCAGCACACACACATATCTGCCTGACCAATCATAGTTTACTTCTACTCTGAGATTGCGTTGTGAATTTTTAAATATTATAAATAACGATAATAAAGCGGCGGTTTGGGGGAAGAAAATGCTCTTTTTTTACAGTGATAATGTTTGAAATATTGCGCAACACGCGATATCGCTATATATGCATACATTGTAATTTTAAATAGAAGAAATTTAAATATTAACAGTGGGGAATTAACTTAATTAGTCATAACTTAAATAGAATTTTTTTAAAATATTTTTTAATATTTTTTATTTTTTTATATATAGTATTCTTAATTAGAATTTTTACATTATATAAATATATAAATAATAAATTTTTACATTCTTGTATTTTTTATTTGTATGTATTTTTATATTTTTCGCTTGTTTTATATTTTTTATAATTTTCACTTTTGTTGTTTTTCATCTATTTCCGTTTTGTATTTTTGTATTTTTCATATTGTCAGACTTGCATATTCTTTATTATAGTTTTTTCTAACAATATATTTTGTATTTTTCAGGGAATACTTCAAATTTGGAGGTGAAGTTTAAATCGTTTAAATAGAACTGCGCAGCTATTTTCCAAGTCGATGCGTGAACAAAATATATTGCTGCGTTTTTCCTTTGATGTTATTATACAGTTTTGTCAATTGCGTGAGTAGACAATTTTGTCAATTTGGTGAGTATTTAAATTATTTTGATTTCTTTTTTTCTTATTACAAATCGCAAATATCATCAAATTGTATGAAAAATTTCATTTTTATAATATTGTAATATAGTTGTTCTAATTTTATTTATTTTATTTTGTATTTTATATATTATAGTTTTTATTTTCGTTTCAGCGTGTTTAAGAAGAGATGCAGTGCGCATTTTGGTTTAAGCGATATTAGCGCTCCGATTTTGATACGAACCAAAAGGAACTACGAAAACTAGTGTCACAATTTTATTCACATCAACAAAGTGATTGCAGCGTGACTGAAGAAAATGGAAATGTATTCATGAGGTAGTGACATAATTATAATAATTAGTTATATTTATAGTTATTCTAGTTGAGACGAATTCGAACATTAGAGTAAGGGTAACCTTACTTTTATTCGTTATAAGCAAAAAAGCATTTTTTCGAAATTTCGGCTACTTTTGGACTGTCTTAGAATTTTTATTATTATTTTAATTTTTTTATTATTAAAAGTAATCGATTTATAGAAAAATTGTAGTTAAAAATGCTAAAAAAAATTGTATTTTAAAGAAGTTACAACTATGATTGCAGAAATTCAATTATTTTCAAAAGTAATAAAATTCTTCTCAGAAATTCAATTGCGTTCAAAAACTTAAAGAAATTCTCGTCAAAATTTCAATTATTTTCAAAAATTTTTTTAAATTCTCTTCAAAATTTTAATTATTTTTATAAATAATAAAATTGTTCTTCAAAATTCAATTACATTTCAAAAATTTTAATAAAATTCTTGACAAAATTTCAATTATATATTCAAAAATGTTCCTTAATTCAATGATTTTCAATATGTACCTACTATTTTAATAAAATTATCCAAAAGAATTCAATTATTCAAAAATTTGTTGATAAAATTCTTTATGAGAATTCAATTTTAAGAAACTTAATTAATAAATATTTAGTGAATTATTTAATTTTTTTATTTGAATAATTGAATTCTAGTTGTTCCTAAAGTTTTGAATGAACGACAATATTTATATTACTTCTTTTAATTTCAATTTTATTTACAAAATATTGTTTTTTTTATAATTAAAAAATATTTTTAGATAAAAAAAATAATTAATATTACAATATTTTTTTATTTCAGTCTATTAATTTTTAAAATTATTGAAGCATAATAAATATTTCGTTCATTTGAACGTTCAAAACTTTTTAGGAAAATAATTCTAGAAGAATTTGTTTTAGTAAAAATTGATTTAAAAATGGATTTTAGTTAAAATGTTAGATAATAATTCAATAGTAATAATAATTGAATAGTGGGAGCATTATAGTATGAATTTTTAAAAATAATTGAATTTTAAAAAGGTTTCAAATTAAAATCTTTAAAAATTTGAATTTTTCATACTTTTAACTATAAATTTTTTGTAAAACAATTTAAATGAAATTTTTTTTTTAATTCTGAATAATCAAAATTTTGTAAGATTGAATTGTAAAGAAATGGATTTAAAAATTCTCAAAGAACTTTTTCAATATTTATTAAAAATGATATAGAAAATAATATATTTGAATTAGAAGTTTTCGAATAATTTTACAATTAAAAAAATTTGTAAGTAAATGTATTAAAACATTTTTTTGAGCATCCAATCATTTTGTATAGTGAATCAGAATATTCTTTATGATTAGGAAAAAGTCGAAATTTTGTCTGGAAATCAGGGAAAAGACAGGAACTAACAAAATTAAATATTTGTGTCAACCTTGATTTTGTCGAACCGGTCTTACACTGAAAAAAAAATTTATTTGATTCAAATACTCAATTCGTTATTAGCAGTCAAAATGCATTGATTTACAGAAGGGGAACTATTTATTTTCGGAACTATATTTTCTGAACTTTTCTTTTTGTTAGTTTTTTTTAAAGTATTTTTTTACTTTTTTCTCATTGTCACACCGTTGGATTATATTTTAACCTTTTATTACAGTAAGAAATCCAAATTTCCGTCTTTAAGGTCTTGTTCGTGTTCTTTAGTAGTCACGTGTCCTTTATGCTTCAGTACTAGAGCACGTGACTACTGAATAACATGACACAGTTAACAGCTATAAACATATCGAATTGTACAGAAGCTTTAGAATTCCAAAAAGTAAAAAATTTCTTTCAATATTTTACGACTAGTTAGAGAAATTTATCGCTGCTCTAGATAATGTTTTTTTTTTCAGTGTATGAATTGAATTAGGTAATTTTTTACCTAACCACACTTTGGTTAAAGTCCGTTTTTTTGAAAAAAAAAGTCCATAAAGTCTGTAATTTGATTAAAAAAAGGATGAAAAGTTTGTAAATTGTACGATACAATTTTGGAAATTTTGAAAAAGTTAGAAATGATTGCAAAAATTCAATTATTTTGAAAAATATTATTAACTCTTGTATTTTGGTAAATTTTTGAAAATAATTGAATTTCTGCAAAGAATTATATTACTTTTGAAAATAATTGAATTCTTGAGACGAATTTCATTAAAATTTCTTTTTAAATAATTGAATTTTTTTGTAAAATTTATAATTGAAATAATAGTCATTGAAAATAAATAAATTTTGACAAATATTTGAAATTAATTCAATTTTTACGAAGAATTTCATTAAAATTATTTTGAAAAAAATTGAATTGTTACAAAAAATTTCATTAAAATTTTTGAAAATAATTTAATTCTTTGAAGAAATTTAATTAAAAATGTTTTAAAAATAATATTTAAATTTTAATTAATAAATAGTAGCAAAGGTTTTTAAAATAATTAAATTTCTTTGATGAATTTTAATAAAATTTTTAAGAATAATTACATTTTTCGAGGAATTTTATTAAAATATTGTTTTAAAAATAATTGAGAGTTCGCGATGAATTTTGCTATTTATGAAAATAATTTCTAAATAATTGAATTCCAAAAAAGAATTTATTTATTTATTTCCACACTCGGGTACTTATATAATCTTTCATTCTTCCGTCTAACGATATTCAGATAAATTTACTTTTAGAAATTCTAAATCGAAAATTGGAGTTGGAGAATGAAAGAATACAAAAATTTAGTGGAATTTTGAAAATCGAAAAACTGGAGATTGAAAACTATTATTTCGGAAATTGAAAATCGAAAATTGGAGAGCTTTTGGAATTGAAAATCGAGCGGGATTCAAGTTTGGAAATTGAAAAATTGTATTTTTGGGACGTCAGAATTCGAAAAATTGGAATTTGGAAGTGAAAATCGATTAATTGAACTTTGGAAATTAAAAAATTGTATTTCGGATATTGAAATTTGAAAAATTGGACTTTCGACATTGAAATTCGAGAAATTGAACTTTGGCAAACGAAAACTTGGATTTTGGACATTGAAATTCGAAATTTTTGTCTTTGGAAATTGAAATTCAAAATATTAGACTTTGGAAATTGATAAAATTAATTTCGGTAATTGAAAATCAAAAATTATAATCTAGAAATTGAAATTCAAGAAATTTGAGTATATTCGAAGTCGCAAATAATTGAACTATAGTGAAATTAAAAACAGATTTTTGAAAACGAAAAACCGAATGAGGGAAATAATGTTATAAAACATGAAAAATTTAATTTATAGTTTTAAGTATTATTTTCTTATTTGACTCGGACTATGGTTATATTTTTTTTTTTTTTTGCGGAAATGGTCCCTAATTTTTCATTTTTGGTCCGTAAAGTCCGTATATTTTTAAATACTTTCAATGGTTCGAGCCTTGTATTTAGAATTTGAAAAATTCTATCCCTTTTTCGCTATAATGTAAAAATATCCCTACGTTCAAGTATTAATAATAAATTGCAATTTTCAGGGCATTCCAGAGCAGAATCCAGAACAACTTATATACTCGACTCTCAAGTGCGTATACGCACGTATCGCCATCATCAATTTTGGAGTATGGCTTTTTAGGACACCGTCACTCTCGATCAGGTTGTACAAACCACTATACTATATATATACAACACGTAAGCGTAAAACGCATCCAAAGACGCGTACACACTCTCGTATGACGTCAGTGGAAGGTGGCACGCGTCGCGTGCCATCCATTTCAAACGAAGGGGGTGGGAGTTGTCTCTCTGTCTTTCTTCCGCTCTTGCTCACCAACTTTCCCCTACTACTACCCCCACACACACACACACCCAAAAAGTAGGGGAAAAACTCATCTTTCTCTCACTCTCACTGCGACTCAATTTACTCAATTCACTCAATTTCGTATATAATGAAAATGCACTTTAAGTTTTGAAAATGTAACAGACAAAGAGAAAGATATGACAGTTTGACAAGGAAGTCAGAAGAGTGTGTGTCTCTTCACCGGTGGTTGGGGTGTCTCGTCGTGGCCGAGTGGTGGGGGTGGGCGCGTGCAGCCGGCTTGCAGCTGCCTCCCCCTCTCCCTCTCTCACTCAGCCACCAGCCCCTCGTTTTGAATTCGTTTTTCCCCCCACCGGCCCGATGGGACCATGATTATAAGTAGGGGTGCTGCCCGTTTACTACCTCCAGTCGAGGGTTGCACATTACAAGAGATGCGTCGTTCATTTCATAAAAACGCGTGGTGAAAAATATCGTATTTTTCTCAAGTGCTTGTAGTTTTCGTGGAAAGTGAAAAAGAAAAAGAAAAGTGCCTTTACTTTTGGATTAACAAGAACCCGAGAAATCTTTTTTTGCTTTTGGAAGAATTTTGTGTTTCGAATTCTGTTTGACAGAGTTCGATTTGGCCATCTGTCGATTCCAATGTGTGCCGGCGCGGCGCGCTTTATGGTGTGTGATTTTTGCGTTGTGCGGCGCTAGTATCGCGCCGGTAGCGGTGTCGTGCCTGAAGAAGAAGCGAAGAAGAGAGAAAGAGGAGGGTGCAGGGACTGTGTGCGGCCAAGAGTGGGACAGAGTGTGTGTGCGATACTTATTACTTTCCCGACGAGCCAACTGGCAGGACGGTGTTTCCGTGTAAAAGAGAGAGGCAAGGGGGCTTTTGAAGCCGCTGATCCAGTGCCAGTAGTACCCCGGCTGTGGAGTAGTGACTTTCGTGCTTTTTGTGTGTACGTCTCTTTTCCCCCTTTTTTCCCCATAAGTCCCCTCTTCCCTTTTATTATTATTATTAATTAATTAATAAATAATAACAGTGAAAATTGACAAAATTCCATTTTTCCTCGTGTTGGGGAAAAAAAAAAATTGTTTTTAAACTTAGCACCGGGAAAAGCAAAGTTTATATCGGTGCTTCGTGGAAGATGCTCTCCTTTGCCATGTGCGAGAGAATAGTAAACTAGGCGAGATTATTTCGACAACGTGCTCGTTTTTGTAGTGACCGGCGCTTCTCCAATTGGATTACTGGAATATACAAGTGTCAAAAAAAAGTGCAGTGATTTTTGAGGATTTAATTTTTGTTCTGTTTTTTGGAAAATTTTTGTCGAAGAAAGAAAGAAAGGCCTAGTTGAAAAGGGGCCTTTTTGTATAAATTCGCCGTCAAAACACGGAACACCCTGGTGTTTTGTCCCAGGTGGCTATGCAGTCGAGTGTTATTTTATCATCGAATAGATAACCCGCCGAGATTCGAGCAAAAAGCTCCTTCGGCGACGATATCAGGCGTTGAATATCCACGCCAAAATTAACAAAGTAAACATGTGGACCACGATGCTTGTGTGGACGGCTGCCGTCGTTCTATTACCATCTCCCCGTGCGGTAAGCATTTCTCCTTTTTATTTGTTAGGGAACATTATTTTTCCTTTTTAAAAATCGAAGTATAGTAATTGACGTTTTCGCGAACGTAAATTATTTGGGTGTCGACCTTCAGTTTCATTAAGCTTTTCATTCATTGAATGAAATGCTCACGGGCAAAGTGACATCTGCGGTCTCGTTGCATCGCTCTTTGTTTCTAGCTTCGTTAAAATTCTTTTTAATTTTCCAATTTCGTTTCTATTTTTTTCTTTCAATTTCTGTTTAATTTTTTTTCTCTTTATTTTCTACCGATTTTTGTTTGTCTTCGAATTTTTTTTTTCCTAAAAATAAATAGAATTTTGAAAGAAAAAAAGGGAAAAGTGGATTTTGAATTTCTAAAAGTGGAAAAATGTTAGTTAACCAGGGAAAAAATTTGAAATTGTACAAAAAGTCAGGGAAACGAAAAATCGAATTGTAGTTAATTTTGAATTGTTTGCTTTTCGGAAGTATTTCTGTTTGAGAATCTTTTTTTGAAATTAGTTTCAAGTTGAAATTTTTACCAGTAAAAGTTGTTCTTTAAATTACAAGTTGAAATTTTAACCAGAAAATAGAAAAGAAAGGAAATAGTAGAATTTTCTTTTGAAATTCGTTTGAAGATTCAATTTTTGACCAGAATACTTGGAATTTTTCTCGAAATTTCTTTTTTAGTCCCGGCTGTCTCGAATTTTCTCCCACAAATTTTCAGAAGTCCCTGTGTGGTCCTAAAGTTTCGAACGTTGAAATGAAGGACTTTTTTTCTATTTGAATATTTTTCAAATCTTTTACATAAAAAAAGAATAATTAAAATTAATAAGTTTCCTATTTAAGAATTAATCTTTGTAATAAAGAAAATAAATTTTTTTTTATAAAAAAAATAAGAATTAAAAAAAAATTTGTTTATTTGAACGTTCAAAACTTTAGGAACAGTCCTAATATTCGTAAAGAATTAATTTCATTTTTGATTTTTAATTTACTGTTTGGAGCTTTAATGTAACAAATTAAATTTTATCTAACATTTTTTCTAACAAAAAAAAAATTGGTTAATTTGTCAAATAGGATATTTTTGAGTTTGACAGATTTACAAATTTGTTGTTGTTGTTTGTGTTTATTGTCTTGCACTCGTGAGTAAATTAAAATTTAATGTTTGAATTTTTTTTCCACCATCAAATCTCTCAGGTCGGGTTGCAAATAATATCGAATTTCCATTTGCTGTTTTCTTATAGTAAACAAGTTAACATATTGCGTTGCTTTATCGTCTGGCTTTTTTTCCAAACAGTGTAAAATGTCTAGGAAAATTTCTCCTCTCTTTATAATTTGGAAAATTTCGCTAATTCAATGGAACAAGTTTAATTGAGTTGCCTCAACGTCGCTTCACGTTTATTCAATTCGCATACATGTGTTTTGTCAGTTTTGCTTCTGGGGAAAGTGAATATTTTTTTTTTTTTTTTTGACAAGTCGAAAAAAATTATTTAAATTTCGGTTCTGGTAAAAGAATTTAATTTTTGTAACGTAAATCAATTTTTAGTAATTTAATTTTTTGTCAAGTTTGTAATTTGAATATTTTTTATTTAGAAAATAAAGAAAATTTCCGTTTGGTAAAAAAATGTTTGTTAAATTGTTAAAAAGTTTTTCGAAAAGTGAATAAAATTGAATGTTCAGAGAATATTAACACTAATTAGCAAAACGGTAATCAAACTGTAGTGCACTTGTGTGATTAAATATTTAGTATTTGAAAAATTATAGATATTAAAGAAAATACGGATTGTGGTTTTGAAGTACTAAATGTATATTGCGGTAGGATTTAATAACCGAGAATGTCGACTAAATTCCAAATTGAGTAACTTATGATTCAATTATTATCACTTATTTTGGTAATTCCATAAATAACGTTCACCTATATTAGCGTTTTAGTTGGAAATTATTACAATTAATCTGCTTATGGTTCTGTAACGGTATATATTTGTGTACATCGATAGTTTACTTTTCTCTCTTTTAATTTAAATAACTTCAACATAACCCAATTTTCCAAATTTACCGCGTGTTATTAAATTGTAAAAGTTATTATAATGCAAAATTATTCAATAACATTTTAGCGAATGAGATGAGAATTTTTAATGACCTTTAATAAAGTCAAAAGCCAGATCGTAAATCTCTTTGTCGTTTCGCTATTAAAAGTTTTCTTTGCAATTAAATTCATAAAATTGATAATTTGTTGCATGTCTGCATTTTGAATATTCAATATTATATTTTCAATTAAAATAAATAATTTCGAAAGAAAAAAAAAAGAAAAAATTGCAAATACTCTGGAAAAGCTAATTAAGAAAAAATTATATATCAAATATAATACCTGATTTTAATTTATTAGAAAATGGATATACAATTAAAGATTGTGAGCGTTTCTTTTTAAAAAGTCGATCAATGAATAAAATGCGGTAAAAAGTGGTGTTGAATATATTTGAAGAAAATGCCAAGCGCGAGGTATAATGATGATAAATTTTTTTCCTATTTTTTGTAACAAATGTACCGGATACTTTTCCTCATTGAATTATTCAAGTGCGCGGCTTTTTCAATAATTAAATGAACTTTCGAAACAATCTCGAATGTTTAATCATACTTTATACTTTCATTTCATGAGAAAATAATGTAAGAAAAAAATTTGTAGTATTATGTGCGGGGCTACGTGTGTGTTTGTGATTGTAAAAATAATCCGACATTTGAAAACAAGCACGAGATAATCGATTGAAGGCAATTTTTTTTTCTCAACGCTTCATAAAACTGTCACCAAGTTGAACGTTCATCGTTGAAATCTCCCGTCGAGTAAATTTCATTACATTAAATTTACGACTCCCAATTACTCCTTCATCTATCATTTTTGATTGGTAAATATATGTTTAAAAGTTGACTCGCGTTTTTCGATTCATATCCAGTGATTGATTCATTCAAAACGTTCCGTTCTTCTTCTTTCTTTCTTGTTGGTTTCTTTCTTTCTCGTCGATGAATGACACGATCAGTTCACTGGAATCGATGTCTGATTAAAGGATTTTATTCGCCTGGGAGTTTTGTGTATAAAAAGTTTAGTGAAGCGTTAAGTTTTATAAGCGTGAAAAGTTTTCGGAAAGAAGAAGTGTGACACCAGCTCTGTAGTAAAGTCTCTCTCGACTCGATTCTCTTTCTTTTCGCTAGTTTTTCTTTTTCTTTTTTTTTTATTCCCTTCGCTACTGGCACGACTCCGCCAAGGGTGCGCTCAGTGAATTCTTCCTGGGAGATATGTTTCTCTTTTTCTTTCTTTCTCTCTTCTTCTTCTTCTTTGACTTTGTCTTCTTCTTCTTCTTTCTGTTCTCAGTTCTGACAATTCTCTTTTCTCAGTTGATCCCCCGTTGAATTCAGTGGCGTAAGAAACAATTCTTTTGCTTGCGATGAAAATTGCCGTCCAATTTCTTTTCTCTTCATTCTCTCTCTTCGCCTTGTGGATTCGGAAGCTTCTGCGTCTCGCTTTTTCTCCTGCTTGTTGGAGAGAGATTCGTGTTTTTTTTTTTTTTTTTTTTTACGTTCAACCAGTCATGGATATTATTGTTCATCAGAGGAATCCTACCTCTGACAGCTGTCTTAATTCTCCAGGTATTTTTATTCGATTCCCCATATTTAATCGAACGATCATTCTCTCTCGTGTTGAGGATATAAATGCGTCATTCGAAAAAAAAGAAGTTTTTCACTTTATTTTTATTTGATTGATCACTTGTTTAATTTTCTGTTTTGGGTGGTTTTATTATTATTTTTTTTTTTGTTTATTATTTATTATTCATTAGGTCTTGGAAATTGTGTTTGATTCGGGAAATTAAGTGGATTTGGAGTTGAATGTAAAAATTCGTTCTTGAAAAAATTTATTCTTGATTTATTTGGTAAATTTAATAAAATATTTTGTAAATTTATTCTTGTGTGAATTGCTTTTACAATTTATCTGTGGATATTAAATTGAGACAAAAAAAGAAGCCAAAATGTTGCGAGGCAACATTTTTGCTTTGTTTTTTGTCTCAATTTGATATCCACAGGAAAACTGTGAATTTGGGAACATTTTTTATTTATTTAATTATTAAAATATAATTTTAAAAATTATATATTGCGTAAATTGGTTTTTGAATAAATTTGTTTCTGTAAAAATCAATTTTTGTAAAAAATTTGTTTTTAAATAAATTTGTTTCTATAAAAATGGATTTTTGTAAAAATTAGGTTTTGTGTAAATTTTGTTTTTGTAAAAATCAATTTTTGTTAAAAGTTGATTTTTTGTAAAAATTGGTTTTTATAAAAGTCGATTTTTGTAAAATTTGCTTTTTGTACAAATTTATTTCTATAAAAATGATAAAAATTGGTTTTTGTCAAAAACGAATCTTATAAACGTTGGTTTTCGAAAAAATTGATTTTCACAATAATTAAGATTTTAAAAAATCGATTTTATTGAAAAATTGGTTTTTAAATAAATTTGTTTCTGTAAAAATCGATTTTTGTAAAAATTGGATTTTATAAAAGTTGACTTTTGTAAAATTTGCATTTTGTACAAATTGATTTCTATAAAAATTAGTTTTTGTATAAAAATGATAAAAATTGGTTTTTAAATAAATTTGTTTTTGTAAAAATGGTTTTTTGTAAGAATTGGGTTTTGTGTAAATTTTGTTTTTATAAAAGCCTCCTTGAAAAATTTTCTCTTGTAAAAAATCTTCTTGAAAAAACATTTACAGCTGTAAATGTTTTTTCGTACAAAAATCGTCTTCTGTAAAATTTGATCCGCATAAAAATTCCCACCTGTAAAAATTGACTCTCGTAAAAATAATTTCGTCTCCTCCTAAAAAATGTCTTCTTCTTTTAATTTTCTAAAAAAAATGTATTAAAAACATTTTTTTTATTTTAGGCCCATAGTATATATTGAGTTGTTGAGGAGAGATGATGTTCACCACGGTTCTGTTTTTCGAACTCTATATCGAGAGTTAAACTGAAATTGAAACGGTACCAATATCCTGGCAGTAAATCAAAGTGATATTGCTGTTACGCCACTGGTTTGGAGTCTGCAAGGAAGAGAGGAGGCCAAAGCGCTAACGGCGGATTTACTACAACGCTAAATCTGGCTCCACTCTTTTAGATTTGTCTAGCCTATCTTCGTTCCTCCCGCTTTGCTCTCGGGCGTCGACGCCTTTCCATTTCCTTCTCTCGTCGCGTTATACGCGATCAACGAACGTATATAACAACGTCAAACCCCGAGATGCTGGCGCTTCGACGATCATCTTTTCTTCCGTTTCTCATCTCGTCACATTGTTGTCATCATCTGTTACACTCTCTTGGAAATCTGTTTTCTTTTCTGTTATCTTATTGGTTGTTGTTTTTTTTAATTATTACGTTCTTCTTCACTTCACCTTTGATTTTTATTTTCTGTCGTGTTTTTTTTTCTTTTGTTGTAATTTTCGGAATTTTTGTTTATTTTCTGTATTTTTAATTTTTTTAAATTCCATCTTTTTGATGGAGAAAATTTTTAATATCTTCTGTATTTTTATCACGAGTTGTTATTACCTCTGTTTAGCTTCTTTGTTGGCTTCTGCACTACGTTCTGTATCAGTCTCATTGTTTTCTTTCTTTTTCATTGTCTTAGCTTCATTTTTCGTTTTAGTTTAATTATTTTCTGTTAGCTTCATTATCTGTTAGCTAACAGAAGTTAGCTTCTTTTTGAAGGCGGGAAAAATTCTTTGAAATTCAGAGCAAATTTTCTTTTTTAGCTCCATTTTTTTTGCAACTTGCTTTTTTTTCTGTTAACTTGCTTTTTTTCTGTTAGCTTCATTATTTACAGTTAGCATAATTATTTTTTGTTAGATAACAACAAAAAGAAGCCTTGGCTTCTTTATTCTAAGGACTGGAAAAATTCGCCATCGAAATTCACACCGAATTCTTCTGTTTCAGCTCCATTTTGTTGTAACTTAATTAATTTTGTTTTTGCTTCTTCATTTTCATTTATTGTGAACTGTGGAAAAATTCGCTTCCGAATTCCTCAAAGAGATTCGAGGAAAACTTGAAATAGTCGAAGAAGTGGATTCGTATTTCGGCTCGGCTGTTGAAGTGGACAGTTTGAAAATTTCGAAGAAGACAATCAAATCGCAAAACGAGAATATGAAACGCAACTAAAATTGTTTATGACGAAATATAGGCGCTGGATCCATAAATACTTCAAAGTCATTGAATCCAGGAATAAACCTCCTTCTGGTCTCTCATTGCTCTCTATCTCTCTCTTTTTCCGTCTTATTCTCTCTTGTTGCGTCCGTTTCTCTCTTATTCCCTCTTTCTCTCCTATTCATTCTCTCTTCGTTTAAAAGCGAAAAAAATCACCGTGCCAGGACCTGTCGGTAAAACGTTTTTGTTTTACGAGGTAATAGAAGAGGCAACGGTTATAAACTCTCCCCCCGATGGCGATAAAAAAAAGTTCCATTTCTTTCTCTTTTTCTTTCTTTCTTTCTACAGCTTTTGTGCGACAATTATGTAGTTTTGCACCCGATTTATTTTCTCTAGTCCATCTGGTGAAATCTCTCTCTCTCTCTTTCTCTTCGTCTCGTGATAAATATATCATTTCGATAATTTTTTGTTTCGAGGGCAAAACTAAAGGTTTTGCTCCCCATTCATGTTTCAATAATTTCTTCCTAGAATCGGCGAAAAATTATTCCTATGGTCGCTCTCGCTTTCAAGTTATGCTAATGTTCTTTGGAAACCTTGTGTTTGTGTATGGTTCGGTAGTGCTCTGCGGCTTTCAGCGAGAAGAGAATTTAATCAAGCGTGTAATATAGTTTCTTCTAATTTGACCCATCAACCTATTACGAGATTATTTCATTCGAATTATTGAAAAAAAGAAGAGGAGAAGGAGGAGAAATATTCTCCAGTCTGGCGGAGGAGAAAAAATATTTATTAGCCTCTCTGAACTGATTTTTATCTATATTTAGATTCGGACTGACAAATTTTTCTGAAATACTTTGGATTTTTGCTTTTTTGCCTTTTAGTCCTTTTGTCATTTTTTCTCTGCGCCTTTTTTAGTTGTCTTTTTGTTTTTTTATTTTTTTTGGTATTTATTTTCTTGTGCCTTTTTTTTATTTTTTTCTCTGCGCCTTTAATTTTTCTTGCCCCTTTTTTTATTTTCGCATCTTTTTTCCTTTTTTTAGCATCGTTTCATTGTATTCAGCGTCGAACTCACGGTTGAAAATTAGTTTGCTTTTTAGTTTCAATTAGTACGATTGAGAAAAGCGAAAACAAAATTGAGGGAAACGAAGAAAGACAGAGCGGAAAAGAATTTCGTTTTCGAAAATGAAGAAAAAATCCGTTGAGAGATTAGCGGGAATATGCTAAACGGAATTGTTTGTATCTTTTGCACAATTAGAACTTGAAGATCACTACATAGCAGTGTTTATCGCGTGGGCGCGAGGTCGTCGGGAGATTTGAAAAGTGCAGAACCGTCGAGACGACTTTGTCTTCTTTGCCGGTATATTATAAACTGAGAGACGAGGGTATTTGTGTCACAAGAGCAAAGACACGAGCCGCACGTATTGACGAAAAGCAAGAAGAAAAAAAAATACGAAAAGAAATCAAGAGACGAGTGATGATTTTAAGAGAGACTGCAAAGCGACTGCATTTTTTTCTTGTTATTTAAAGTTTGGCAATATTTGACCGACTTAAATATTGTAAAAATACATTTTTTCAATTCTCATGCTCTATTTTTAAAGATTTGTATTTTTCTCTGTCTCCGTTTCTTCTTGGGGCACGATATAAACATTTGTCTTCGGTTTATGGACATTTTTATGGACCTCGATAACCCTTTTATTTCGCAATTTCAAACTTCTTGATTTAAACTTCTCGAAAGAAAAAAGAAATCTTCTTTACTTTATTCTTTTCTTTTTTGGCAAGTTTTCGTCTTTGATTTCTTTTCTCATCATTTTTACAATCGAGGAAAGTATTCCTTGTGTCGTTTCCTTTTGAATAGAGAAAGAAAAGATTTTTTCCAACGAAGTAGTATTTTCGTAGTAGAATGATTTTGAATAATTTTATGTTTCGAAAATTTTCCTTTTGGATTTGGTTTTTAATTTTATCGCCAGTGCTACGTTTCAGCCATCTGCTGAAAAAGAGTTTCTTTCTCGTGCTGTATGATGAATTTTTTTTTGTCAAACTCCTTCGAGATCCACGTGCTTGTGCAAAAAGCTCGCACATGCTTCCCAGACTCCCGTCGTGAAGCCGTTAGATCGAATTTTTTTCTCTTTTTTTTCCAAAAGGATTTCACACTCCACTTTTGTAACGGTTTTTATTTTTGATCAAAATTGAGAGAGTTGGAGGACTAATTGGTTTTTAATTGGTGAATTTTGTTTTTTGTGTTGGTGTCCATTTTTATTTTTGCATTTTCGTTTATTTATTTTCATTGATATAATTTTTCTGCTGATATCAAATTGAGACAATTGGCAAAAATATTGCGAAGCTACTTTTTGAGACATTTTTTGTCTCAATTTGATATCTGCAGAAAAAATTTAATGTTTGTTTATTTATTTTATTAATACTATGTATATTTATTTATATTAATTGGAGGAAAAATATTGTGTTGCCAATGTCTGGGAATCAATATTATTCAATGTTGGTAAACACAAATTATATCTTTATCGTGTTAGTCACATGTTTAGAAATTAAATTTTACTCCATTTCGAGACTCATAGATCCGGATTTGCTATAATTCGATTTTTTTGAAAAATATACTGAATTTATACATTTTTTACAGAAATTAGAAATTATTTTTATCTGATTTTTATTTACAGGAATGATTAAAATTTGGCTCTAACGATTTTTTTTATCGTTTATTATTGTTTTTGTGTTCAATTTCAATAATTCATTTTCTATTATTTAAATTAATTTTTAATTTTTTCAATTCATTTTCAATTTTAGTTTTGCTTTCAGTTTTATTTTTAGCGACATTTTTTTTGTTTGTTTTATTTTTGTTTTGATTGAATAAAGAGAGGGACTTTTTGTACAATTTCTCTAGAGTTTAGATCTAAATTTAGTGATTTATACTGAAAATGTTATTATTTCTTTGGATATTGATTGATGTTTGTTTACAGGTTCACGGCGCGGGTGTATTCGAGCTGAGGCTAAGATCGTTTGTGAATGAATACGGGAAGGATAGTTTAGGAGAGTGTTGCTCGGGAAGTACAACAAGGACAGGAGAGTGTTCGGGTGCTTGTAAAATTCGTTTTCGGGCGTGTCTCAAACAATATCAAAATACAATCGACACATCGACGTCATGCACCTATGGAGATGCCATCACGCCCGTTCTCGGCGAGAATTCCGTCAACTTCTCATCAATCGAATCACTCCCCAACTTCTTCAATCCGCTCAGGTTCCGCTTCGAATTCTCATGGCCGGTAAGTCTCACCAATTTTATTCTAAATTTACAAATTTACGAATTTTCGATATTTTTGATTCTTTGTTTTTCCGAAAAAATAGAATTTATTATAGACTGAAATAATCTTTTGGGAATTTAGAAATTTAGAGAGAAATGGAAAAAAAGTGATTCTGCGAGATAGAAGTTTTTGGATGAGGGAAAAATGACCTGCAGCAGCTCGTTTCTTCGGATTGGGAATGAGGCACGTTAATCGAGTTGAAAGATGCGAGAGCACACGCCAGATTTGTCGCGTGCGTCAATGCGTAAGGGAAGTGAGAGCACGCGTAAGACAAAGAGAGACTGACACAAGTAGCAGATGGTGTTGAAGAGAGACGGGGACAAAGCACTTGTCTCTCCCTATATCGCTGGTGTGCCAACGTTTTCACAGTTAGAGAGACGGTGCCATCCCCACGTTTCTACGTCATCTTTTCGAGACTCGCATATGGCACGACAAAACCAACCCTCGTCTTTCTTTTTTCGTCTCTCATTCCAAATGGGAATAACTTTTCTCTCGACTTTCAAAATCGACCGTTATTTTTCAATTTTAGATTATATTTTTCGTCTAACAAATCCTCTTTTGAAAAAATAAAAAATCCTCTCTCAAAAAATAGAAAATCCTCTCTCAACTGCAGTTGAGAGAGGATTTTCTATTTTTTGAGAGAGGATTTTTTATTTTTCTATACCACTAAGGATTTTTTTCCCCATTCTAAGTAGAGAGAGGATTTTTTCATTATCGTCGCTTGTAAGTTAATAGAAATTTTAATTTATTTTAGTTTTGGCAAAAAAAGGGGATTTTTTTCCGAATCCTGATCTTTCTCATTCTCGCACGTTTTCTCTTGGCCAGGCAAAACAAGCAGGCAGGCAGGCAGAGGGCAAGTTAAATTTACTAACCCATATGGTGTTCACGACTCACCGTGACCGGTCGTGTATCGGCCAATATTATAAGTCAGCTATATCGAGAAAGAGAGAGAGAGAGAGGGATGCCTAGACCGCCAAAGCGCACCGCTTTTAAAACTTGGAAGAAGCAAAGAGAAAGAGTGTGAGAAAGATGGAAAGACTAAAAAAAAGAGAAAGAGAGAGAGGAGAAAAAAAGAAAAGTTTCCTTCTCGGAAGCGTGTGTTTGTGAACCCACATGGTCTTTTCGGTAGGTTGTTACAGGGACTCTTTCCAACTGGTGGAATTATAGACGAGAATGCACAGATTATGGGTTCTGACGGGTACACACTAGCAGTTTACTACTCGCTCCTCGCGAAGAAAGTAAGATCGAATGGCTATACAAGAAATGAAATAGGTTTCGCCCCAATCGGAAACGTGCCTCCTCTTCGAAAACAACCACTCTCCAATGTTCTATTTATGGTAGCCGGGGGTTTTAAAATAACACCGCTCAATTTTCATCATTATCATCATTATCATCATCTTCATCATCTTTGTGGTCAGGATTAACAATAGAGGAGACTAGAAGGTTTTAATTTAATAGAGTTTTTAATTTTCTTCAACGATAGATCGAGACCCTTGATTTTATATTTTTTGAGTATAGATCCTCGCGAGGAGATTTTGCTCTCAAATAGATATAATTTCGATCAATTTTATTTTTTGGCTAATTAATCTTTTTTCTGTCTCAATTTTTTCTTGTTCGTTTTTGGCGAATAATTTTGTTTTGTTCCAGAAAATAAATTCAGTTCTTTTTCTTTGATTCTGCTTTCGAACAATTTTTTTTTTTGGCTAATTCATCTTTTTTTGAATTTTTTGTTTTTTTTTAAGAATAAATTTTTTGTTGTTGTTCTAGAGAATAATTTCAGTTCGTTTTTTTTTTTATTTTGCTGTCGATCAATTTTTTTTTAGCTAATTAATATTTTTTCGCCTTTTTCAGTATTTTTTTTTCGTTTTTGGCGAATAATTTTTTTGTTATTTCAGAGAATAATTTCAGTTTGTTTTCTCTGATTTTTTTTTCGATTAATTTAATTTTTTTGAATAATTACTCTTTTTTCGCCTTTTCTTTTCTTTTGGAGAATAAATTTTTGTTGTTGTTGCTCTAGAGAATAAATTCAGTTCGTTTTCTTCGATTCTACTATCGATCAATTTTTTTTGGCTAATTAATCTTTTTTTCTTTTTGGCAGAATAAATTTTTGTTATTGCTCCAGAAAATAAATTCAGTTTGTTTTCTTTGATTTTGCTTTCGATTAATTTAATTTTTTTGGATAATTACTCTTTTTTCGCCTTTTTCGATATTTTTTTTCTTTTTTTGCAAAATAAATTTTTGTTCTTCTAGAGAATAAATTCAATTCGTTTTCTTTGACTTCGCTTTGTTTTATTTATTTTCGAGAACAGATTTTTTTGCTGTATTTTTTTCGAGAAAATAAATTTTTACTTTGTTTCTCGCTCGAATGAAGTTTTTTGAACGAAGAAAAAATTTAATTTATTAACAACATAGATTAGTCAGATAATTTAGAAATAAATTCACTTTTTTTGGAATTAGATTTATATTCTGTTAAATGAGAGGAAAAAATTGAGACTAATGAAATGAAAATTTATTCCTACCGAGCAAGAAATGGAGAAAAATTCTCTATCGAAGATGATAGATCGATGATGATCGTTTGTGATGTTACATACTCTTTAATTGGAAATTAATACGGTTTTTTCATCTTGTAGGGGAAGGCGAATGAAAATTCAGAAGGCGTGTCTTGTCGTTAATTAAGAGAGGAGAGTGAGAGAGTGGAGGATAAAAGAAGATTGAAAAGAGAGGAAGAGAAAAGCGCCATCGGATATATATATATACGTAATCCGTAACCTTCGCCGCTGTATATACTCTTTTAATTGGTTAACGTTTGTATTTGCGAAGTGGAGAGTTTGCTCTTATTAAAAGAGCTCAACGACACTCTATAGAAATACAGTGCTCGCACTGTGCGCACACACATTTATAGGAGAGACTCTCTTTGGTTCCATTCGAGTGGAGCTCTCTTTACTTCTTCGTACGGTAAACACTTCTTCGTATCTCGATTATTCACTCCCTGCACGCACGAATGTGCGTAATGCGAGGAGATTAGCGCATTGTGAGAAATTTTTTCTCCCTCTCACTCACTCCGCGGGAATGTTATTCCTGTCTCGAACAAGTTGTAACAAGTTTGAAACAAACTATTTCTTTTTAGATGATGTCGTGAGACAATTATGTGTGTGGGAAAAAAAATTTTTCGGCTCCGCAGATGATTCAGTTTCAACGCACGAGGGGAATTAAATTTAAATTTCTCTCGACTCGAGTGATTAATTAAAAAGGAAATTCAAATTCGATTTTTGGATATTCTAATTCTAAATATTCTCTAATTGTCGAAATTTGGAATTTTTTCGTTATTTTCAATCTTTGAAAAAGGAATTTTTTGTTCAGAAGAAAATTTTCTCTGCCTGGGAGGGAAAGAATTTTTTTTTGTTTGATTTCAGAATATTGCATTTCCAATAATTTCTAATTCCATTCTGTGTAATTGCAGTGAGTTTTTAATTACGGTTCGATAATTGCTGATAATTGACTACTGCGATCGTTGTTGTAATTGTATAAATGGTTGTAAATAACGATTGTATTAGACCTTTTGACTTTGCGCCGAGGGGGTATATACAGTATTTTTCACCTTCTATTCCAAATTCTATTTGTCAGAATCGAATTTATTATTATAGAGTTGTGCAGAATTTTTTTTCTCTTCATCAAAGATATTTCCGTTTGAGAATCCAAAAAATTGTTTTATCTGCTAGAATCTCGTATTAAGAATTCTCAGATATCATGAATTATTCTAATGAATCAGGATCTTGGGAAAGAATCTCGAGGAGATCGTGGGTAGTTAATTCAGAGGTTGTCATCGTATATTAGGACACCTTGAGTCATCCTTCGTGTCTAGATCGTTTTTTCAAGATTCAATGTGTTTGTTTTATAGAGGAAGAGAAGAAAAGAGGGAAAGAGAGAAAGAGAGAGAGAAGTAGGATCAATATTGATATTCACTTTTTGGATTTTGAGAGGATATGTGGCGTGATCATGATTTTTTTCTTCTCTTTCGAGAGAGAGGAGGAATCGAAAAAGAGAACAGGCGGTCTGAAGTCTTTGACGAGCGGATGAATGGCTCCTTCGAAGAGAGTAGCGCATCGCTACTCTCTTCGTGAAGCGTTTAGTATAAATTACAGACGAGTCCCTCGGGGCTCAAAAGGAGAGTGAGAGAGAGAAAGAGAGAGGAGGGAAAAGAAATAGACGCAGGATTGACTGGGCCCCTTGCGCTCGCATGCCGAGTATTTTTAGAGTTTCACCGCGAGCCACAAAACTCACGCGACGAGATCGACCTCGTCGATCTTCCCAGATTTCTTATATAGAAAAAAAAATATCCTTTTATATGCATCGGTGGCTTTCTTTCTCTTCCTCCTCCTGCCCCATCTCCTCGTGTTGCGAAATTGACAAATAATTTTATAAATATTCATTATATTCCTCCAAATGGAACTTGGGACTCTATTCTCCTTTTTTTCGTTAAAAAAAAGGATCATCGTGATCCTTTTCACTTCCTTGTGCAATAAGAAAGTCGTGTGATAGATGTGAAAAAAAATTCCCGGCTTTTTTTCTTTCGGGTTTAGCTGGATTTTAAATCGGATTTACTTAATTTACTTAACAATTATATTTTCTGTCAATTTCGTTATTTTTGGCTCAATTGGCAAAAATATTGGTTCGATTATTGTTAATCTATTTTCTATTTTGCTGATTTTTGTAGAGTCGCGCCGGGAGCTAGTTTTGAAATTGAGTAAAAAGCAGGAGGATGAATTCGAAGGAGGGATGCATTTTTTTCGGAAGGAAAATTCTTGAACTGTTGAGAATCTGACGTGGCGTCTTTCAGAGGCTGAAAAAGTTGAAGAGACGGAGTTGAGTTTTTCGTCGAATCAGCGATCTGCTTTTTTGCCAAGTTGCCACCGTCTGCATCTCGAATTTTCCATCTTGTTCTTCTTCTTATTTTTCTTCCTTTTCTTCTTCTCTTTTTCTTTTTTTTTCTTTCTCTTTTTTCTCTTTTTCTCTTGTCTCTCGCTTTTAATGTTTTGCTGCTTTCAGGTGTTTGATCGCCTTCCTTCTCTCTCTCGGTGGCTGATGATTTTCTTTCTCGTCCCATTGGCTGATTTCTTTCTCTCTCTGGCGAGTTTCAATAGCCTTTTGGTTCGCGCTCACACCATCTCTGAGGAGAATCGTGGTAATAACGGTGAAATGGATTTGTATCCCGAGGGCCTGGTCTCTCGTGAAAGACCTCGTCTGATACCTAGCTTCTTCTTCATGGTTGTCTTCACGATGTTGTTGTTATTGTTGTTTCCTTTTTCTCTTTTTTTGCTCAAAGCGGCAAAGAGAGTACACGGAGAGGAGAGAAACGCCTCTTCCCCTAGGCACGACACGTGGTCATCGGAAAGGTGTATCAGCTGATACCTGGACTGTGCTACGCTTATTAGTATCCACCTACCGCACTACTGTACTTTACAGTGTCCCGCAAATAGATTCTCGCTTCAACTAGGCGCAAAGCAATCCTCTCGTTTTCGATGCCGTCAAACCGTGAAACAACATCTCTTTAACCCCGCGAAATATTTTTTTTTCTCGTTGCAGAAAAAAAAATATGTAACGCTTGGTCGCACTTGAGATTCACTGAATTCTAAATCGGAACTCTCTCTCTCTCTTTCTTCTTTTCTCGTTTCATTCAATCACTTCCCATTCATGCTCATTCAAATATACAAGAGACTTATCTCCATAACTCTTCAATATTTATCGTTCCTCTCGCCTCTATTTCTGTCTCGACCTACCGAGAGCCTCTAATTTGATTCACTTTTCGAGTTTGTTAATTCCTGCTGTCTTTTTTCTTGTTAATTTCTTTCTCTAATTTTGCTTTTACTCGTTTTTTTAGAAAACGAGCGATTTGAACAAAACGAGAAAATTTCTTTCGTTTGCTAATAAAAATTCAAATTTTTGCTCAATTAGCTTTTTGAAATCGAGCGATTCAGACCAAGCTGGAAAATTTCTTTTTCTCAACCAATAAAAAGGAAATTTTTGATCAATTAGCTTTTGGAAACAAAGTGCGATTTATATTACCAAGATGGAGAAAACGATAACGAGTGTTTGTGATACATATATAGTTTGTGAATAAGAAGAAGAAGAAGATGGTCATTGGAACATTGTTTAGATCCATGGAGATTAGAAATTGTTCTATATGGATAGAACTAGACGACGCGAAATCCTATCTGAGATCATGAAGTACAAACGAGGAAGAGGAAACGCGGAAACATATATAACAGCTGCGTTGCTATCGATGCTCATGGTTTTTGAATTGTTCGAGCCACACAAACCATTTATGTTTGTTGCAGCCTCTTCGCGAGAACATCACTTTGTGTGATGATTAATACGAGCGCATGTATATATATAAAACAAGAGTTTGTCCTCGGAAATATTTATTTCTTCTTTAGCTTTTGAGAAGGAGGAAAGAGTTTAGAGAGAGAGAGAATGAAAGAGAATGAAATGTGCGAGTGTGTGCAATGCTCGAGAGAGGAAGAGAGGTGAGAAAGAGTGAATAAAGCGAGAGGTGGAGGTATGCTGCGGCGCCGTGGGAACCAACTCCCGAGTATATCTTCTCTCTTTTTCCCTCTCGCTCGAGCTCAACTCATCTACTCCACTTTGATTCTTCTTTTTTAAGTTTTAGCTTCCTTTTTTTTCCAAACTCTCTTTCTTCGGTTGTTTCGTGTTTTTTCGATCTTTTCGATTTTCTGTCCTTTTTGGCTATATTATTTTTCTTTTTCGAAAGAGATAAATCTTTCTGCTTTGGAAATTTTCTATTGCCTTTTCGTATTTTTCGAATTTTTCGCTTTCGTATTTTCTTTTTGGTATTTTTTTTCTTTTTCATTTTTGGAGTAATTTTTGGATTTTTGTTTCTCTGTCTCTCTCTCTCTCTTTTGTTTCGTTCGCATATTCGCTTTTTCTCACTTGAAGTTGTCCGTGTAGTCTTTTTCTTTCTGTCTCCTTCTCTCGCTGCTGCTGCTGCTGCTTTAGAGTCTCGAGCGCACAATCCAAACTGCTGCACCGGCTCTCTCTCGAAACACACCCTACATTGTTCCCGGGATGCCGGTGCTTTTTCAGCTTTTTGTCGGCTTAATTCCAATCTCTGTAATAAATTAGCGAGCGATCATGGTGGCATTTGTCTCCTCTGCAATTTATTCTCCCCTCCCACTCGCCTCTCTTTCGCTCCTTCTCGTTTCTTCGAGTTCGCATCGTCCTTGCCGCAAGAAAAGGGTCGACCCCAAATGTCCCCTTCCCTCCACGGATATATACACAACTTATGCACCTATTTGTCTAACCCCTAATCTCTCTATCTTTTTCGGTGTACATATTTCAAGGCAAATATTCCTCTTCGTTTTTTTTATCTCCTCGAGAAGGATAATTAAATAATTAATCTTGCTGTGTTTTAGAAAAAGGAATAATTAAGTTTTACAACTTTGTGGAGAGAAGTGTTATCTCGAGGATTTTTTTTCGAAAAAAGTGGATTAATAGAAGAAAAAAAATTTGTGAGAGGAAAGATTTATTTTCATGAGCCGGCCGGCTATTTGACGCGAGAACTTGCGCTGACAATGGCAGATGTAAACTTTATTATTCAACGAGCGTAATGAGGCCGTGAAACGTATCTTGGTGACGTTAATAATTAAACGCTCTCTCTCTCTCTTGCGTTCATGCAGATTCCACGGGAACAAAACGACGACACACACACAATGACAATTTATTCATCACAACTTTACCGTTTTGCACTAATTGTCGCGAGTAATTCTTCATACGATTATGCGAAGAGCGCTAATTGTTAAATTTTCTTTTGCTCTCGACAATTTTCGTCTCGTTCGACTCTATTCGAGCTCGAATAGGAAAAATTGTAAACAAATTACTAAAAGTTTATTTTTTGTACTTTTTTTTCTATTTGTATTTTTTTGTATTTATACTTTTTTCTATTTGTAACTTTTGCTATTTGTATTTTTTTCTATTTAGAGTTTTTTGCGGATATCAAATTAAGACAAAAAACAAAGCAAAATTGTTGCGATGCAACAATTTTGATTTGTTTTTTGTCTCAATTTGATAACCGCAAAAAACGGTTTTTGTACTTTTTTCTATTTTTTTCTACTTTTTTCTTTTTCTGTTGATTCACACTTTTTTAATTTACCAAACCGAAAATTTTGAAGCAAAATGAGAATTAATTTAAACAGTAAATCTTGTTTTTTAATTTAGAAAACCAAAAAGTTTGTAGCAAAGTAAAAATTACCGTAAAGAGAAAACCTTTTTTTTTTTAATTGAAAAAAAAGGTTTTTACGGAAAAGTTTGTAGCAAAGTGAAAATTATAGTTTAAAGAGTCATTGAATAATGGTTTACATCATTCTCGTTGTTGTGTGTGTCGTTAATTATTTTACCAGTTGAGTGCACGTGTGCGGATGGCAAATATAGTCTAGGTCTTTGCTTTTGTGTTTTCATTGGCACACATAAATGTATAAATGATTTATATCCGGTGGAATGCATCAGTGTTATGTATACACCAACAACCCTCCGAGGGACTGTTGCTTTTTTAACCCCTCAAAAGTTTACGGGGCCAAACTCTCTCTCTCTCTCTTTTTTTTTTATTCCGGATTTTCCGTTTCATTCCGCTTGGACACGGTTTTGAACATAAACCGCGCCAGGTGCGTGCACGAAAGGCAAACTTTATATTCGTCGTCATCGGCTTTTTAGACCTTTTAATAAATTACACATATACACATAGACATTTTTTACTGTGAAACCTTTTAATTTAATTGAGTTTTTTTAGGAGCAAATTTTGTATAGCCTTGAGACATTTTCGATTTTTACCTGGGGCTGGAATTTTTTTTCTGTAAATTTTTTGGAGTTTTGGAGTCATTTTCTATTTTTTAGTTTTTTGCTTTTTTATCCTTTCTTTTTTTTATAAGAAAAAGGAAAAAGGACTGAAATTAATAAAGGAAACAAAGAAATTGGTTGAAATTTTCCAAACATTGAAAATAGAGGAGCAAAAAAGAATATTTGAATTGAATGGAATTTTTCAACTATTGATTTTCGATAAAAATTGAGAGACAAATATAATTTGTGGCGCTAAAAATCTACAATGGGCGACGAAGCAGACCTACCTACACGTTACATGGTACATTACAAATTACACAATTAGATATAACAATATAAAATGGTGTATAAAGCCCTTGACATCCTTTCTAACACTCCTGATGGAAGCCGGATGTTCAATTGGCAGCAGAGTCGCACATACAACCCCCTTGTCGCAAAGAATCAAATGATTTCAACATCTATATATATATTATTGTTATTACTAAATGTGATTGCAACACAATGTGTGTGAGTGTGTTCGCAGTCATAACAATTATTTATTCCTATATTTATATTGTACTGTTTGTTAAATTCTCCAATGTTTTCTGTTACAGGGCTCGTTCTCGCTGATAGTGGAGGCGTATCATGACACGGACAACATCACGAACAATACTTCCGGTAATGACGTTTCTCTAATTCTCAAGGGATATCCAATTGTTTCCTCGAATTTTACGTCTTATTTTTCTTTCGAAAATGTTAACCAAATACGAAATTAATCGAAAATAAGAATCATGATTCTCATTTCGTATTTGGTTAACATTTTCAATTTCGTTTTTGGTAATGAAAATTTCGCTATACTTTGGAAATGAATAGTATAGCGGAAAAAATTGGGAAATTTTTGCTGAGTGAGCGAAGGAAGAATGGAAATAGTTCTCAGTTCGCCTGACAGTTTGATTGAGAGAGAATCAATGAGAGGAGACCAAAAGTGATTTATAAATACTTATACGACTTTGATAGCATGTGCAAAGACAGCTGGGTGTGATGTGATGGCTCGGGTCCGAGACAATCAAGAAGCCACTTCCGGCCGTGTGTGACATTCACCAGATACGACACTTCTTTTTTTCTTCTCCTTCTTTTTTTTTCTTGATGAGGGTGGGGAACCACTTCTCTTACTCTTTATCCTGTCCCCCTTTGCCTCCCAGTCCTTCGACCTGTTTTTCAATGTTCTCGCTAGACGTATTACCGTAACATCCTCTCGGTGTGTCTCTCTCCCCGTTCAACACACGTGCAACGAGTACGACATTAAAGTTTGAATATGTACATGTGTGTTGAGTCTCGCAAGCAATAACCTAGTGCACGTGGTGCACATAGAACCCAACAGAGCCACTAGTGTTTCCTTCCTGTGTCGTGTAACCGTAGCAGCCACCTTCCACCACACACCGGAGAGAGAGAGAGTAACTCGACACCCTCGGCTTCTATACACAAGGATGCTTCTTTCTAGCGTCGTCGACACTTTGTAGCGCCAAGCTCCGAATCTGACGTGTTCAACACCCCCCCAATCTCCCCCCTTCATCTGCAATCTGACTTTCTCATTCATACACTGCTTTTGCACTGGACACTGTTGCGCTTACTCGCTTTTCGTTTTCCTCAACTGTCGTCGAGTATTCTGTTCCATATTTTTTTTACGTCATTCTTTTTTTCCCCGTTTCTTTCGCTATGTTCACGAGGTATTTTTATCTTTCTCTCATTTTATTCTCTTTTTATTCATTAGTCGAAAAATAATAATAGAAAATAATTGAAAGTGAAAATTATTATCTGCAAATAGAGAAAAATTGAAACGAGGGAAATATTGAATGGAGGAGGATTTTATTTTGAGTGGGGGAAAAATGGAGAATTCCGTGGAGACTGAGATTCTGGGAGAAAAAGATCTCGAGATTCCAAATTGGAATTTACAAAAGCATAGCCGGGAGATGAATGGTTTGAATTTAAAAGCTCGATTTCTATATCTCGAATCGTTGGACGACATCCAACTTGGACAATTTTAAATTGTCATTCAGTTTGTTTTCATTTCTTTCGAAATTGGCAGGAGAAAAATAAGAAAAAAAAACCTTGGGAATTGTTAAAATGCATTCCGCAGGGAATTTTTCACTATTTTTAACATTCGATCTTCTTGGAAATTTTTTGAAAGTATGTAAATTGAAGTCTAGACTGTGAAGATATTTAGAAATGTTTCATTTGTTTTTTCACAAGTAAAAAGTGTCGCAACATTTTTTTTCCGTTAGTTTTTGTATTTAAGATTTTTTTTTCTCTTTTTGCGATTTTTTTCTGTTTGTTTTTTTTCTCTTTTTTTCTGTTTGATATTTATTCTCTTTTCTCCTTTTTCCCTCATTTATTTCTCGCTGTGTGATTAATTCACTCCTCCTTTATTGAGTGCCGAAGAAAAATAAACGGCACATCTGTCTCTCTTATTACACTACATATTGTTGGTGAACTATCTCTTCAATTCTAACCATTTACTCATCAGCATGTATATATATAATATTGCCCTCCCTTGTTTGCACTATACACGTTGAATCTTCTCTTTCTCTCCTCCATTGGAGTTTACCAAGCCATTAACTCCTCCTGTTCGATCAAAGAACCAACCGTAATGATGTGTTGTCTCTCGTGACACATGTGCTGTAACCGGAAATATTCATGTATGAAAAGTTTCACGCACACATTTTTTTTTCTCTTCTTTTACTCGCGCACACAGTTTTATTAGAATAATTGTTTTGTAAACTCGTTTTAAAGAGAAAAACATTCCGCGAATTCCGGAAGAACTTTCTTTAATTTACTGATGCTCATCGTCTATTTGCCAGTGGAATAATTTTTTATAGAAAAAACAGGCGAATTATGCAAATTGAGGAGGATGTATTGTACGATGAAAATTGCTGTTGAAAAAAGGCAAAATGTGTGATAGTAGGAAATACAATACGAAATAAAATGCTAAACAAAATTTTTATTCTCTAAAACTGAAAAAGTGAAATTTGACTATTCTCACGATTTTGAGAGTACAAAAAAATTAGAACATAAAGTAAAATACGACAAAAAATAGAGAATGGAGTAAAAAACAAAAAACGAGAGGGAACAAAAAAAAATACAAAATGGAACAAAATGGAAAATGGAGTAAAAACTAGAATGCAGAATTGAACAAAAAAAAAAAATACCGATGAGTATGAAGAGAATGAGGAATCGACAAGATTGAAGAGCTGAGGGAAAAAAATTGAGTGAAGATGTAATGTGAATTGTGTAAAGTGGACTATTTAAGGAAGTGGACAAATTAGATGAGTGGAACAAGAATGGGAATGGGAGGAAAAAAATGGGAGATAATTGATTGATCAATGACCGTGGCACTGTCAAGGAGCCAATGAATTAATCAAACGATCTCCGGAAGGAGAAACAACTTTAGAAAAGGTATAGAACAACAACGACGACAACGACAACGACGATGATGATGATGATGATGACGCTATGCATGGCGGCACTGTGAGAGCACGTAATTTCCGCTTGGGTGATTTGTAATTAACAGAGAACTGGTTAAAATCCAAAGGAGAAGAAGAAGAAGAAGAAGAAGAAGAAGAAGAAGAAGAAGAAGAAGAAGAAGAAGAAATTAAGCAGTCTCTTCTTTGCTTCCATTTTTACACGAATATGTAGCGCTCGAGCGATTTGCGCGCATACATTAAAAATATTCTTATTGTGCCGCAGACATTGTCTGTCTCTTCTGGCATTATCACTAATGCGCCGTTTACATATTGTGCTGATGTTGATCTCTCATTGCTGCCATTTCTTTTTACTATTTTTCTCTTTCTATCTTTTCCCTTTCTGTCTTTTTCACTCTTTCTGTCTTTTTCTCCCTTTCTGTCTTTTTCTCTCTTTCTTTCTTTAAGGAAAGAAAAAGAAAAAGAGAGATTCTCTAAAGAAAGAAAGAGAAAAAGAGAGATTCTCTAAGGAAAGAAAGAGAAAAAGAGAGGTTCTTTAAAGAAAGAAAGAGAAAAAGAGATATTCTCCAAGGAAAGAAAGAGAGAAAGAGATATTCTCCAAGGAAAGAAAGAGAAAAAGAGAGGGCCTTCTCTGTCACTCTCTCTCTCTCTCTTCTTTATATCCTCACCATTGTATCCATCATGTATACATATACACACGAGTAAGAGCGAAACGAACCCTTTTATTGCCGCGTTGCTCGGATGCTGCTTCCTTTCTCAGGCCCATTCTCTTCTCTCTCTCTTTCATTCGCCCGTCTCCGTTCTTTATTTTTTTTTTCACTATTACTTTAGCACTGCTTATATGGCTTACGACATGACCGATACACCTGCACTTCCACCGAGTCACAGTCTCCCCATGACAAACATAATTGATAACACGTGGAGTGGAATTGCAATCTAAAAATCTTTCTTGTCTCCACGAGAGAGGCAATTTTATCCTCTCATTGCGATTTTCCCCTCGTTAATTCGATACTCGTTCATTCATTTATTTATTTCCACACTCGGATACTTAATCTTTCATTCTTCCGTCTAACGATTTTTGCTGATAAATTTGCTTTCAGAAATTGAAAATCGGAAATTGGAGTTAGAAAATCGAATTTTGGAAATTGAAAATCGAAAATTGGAAACTGAAAGATTGGATTTTGGAAATTGAAAGATAGGATTTCGGAAATTGAAAATCGAAAAATTGAAGCTTGGAATTGAAAATCGAGGAATTCAAGTTTGGAAATTAAAAAATTGTATTTTGGGACGTCAGAATTCGAAAAATTGGAATTTGCAAGTGAAAATCGAGCAATTGAACTTTGATAATAGTAAAAATTGTATTTCGGACATTGAAATTTGAAAAATTGGATTTTGGACATTGAAATTCGAGAAATTGAACTTTGATAATCGAAAACTTGGATTTTGGACATTGAAATTCAAAAAATTTGTCTTTGGAAATTGAAATTCAAAATATTAGACTTTGGAAATTGAAAAATTTAATTTTGGAAATTGACAACAAAAAAATTTTGTTTAAAAATTGAAATTCGAGAAATTTGACATTAGGAATTTGAAAATTGAATTTCGGACATTAAAATTCAATTTCCCGAAAGAACTTTGGGAATTAAAAAATTTTATTTCTGACGTTAAAATTCAAAAACTTGATCTTTGGAAATTGAAATTCGAGAAATTGAACTTTGGCAATTGAAAAGTTGGATTTTTAACGTTAAAATTCGAAAATTTGTTTTTTGGAAATTAAAATTCGAGAAATTGGACTTCAAAAATTGGAAAAATTAATTTCGGACGTTGAAATTCGAAAACTTGATATTTTGGAAATTGAAAATCGAGAAATTCAACTTTGGTAATTTAAAAATTGTATTTCGGACGTTAAATTTGAAAACTTGTCGCCTTTGAAAGTAGAAATTCAAAAAATCTGACTTTTTGAAGTCAAATAACTGAACCAGGGAAATTAAAAACAGATTTTTGAAAACGAAAAACCGAATAAGAAAAAAAAAATTTTATAAAATATGAAGAAATCAATTACTCCGAGTCGAAGACTCGGAGCAATAATTTTTTTGGTAATAATATTTTGAATGAAGATTAATTTCTACCAATCCAAGAATCTCTGGTTATTATTCGAGTCGATTAAAATTAAAGCCTGCCTTTCGAACTTGAGAGAGAAAGAGCTGACGATAAGGGCGACTATTTTAAAAAAATACTTGGACGAACTGGCGCGGACGAGTCAAGTACGCCACACATATATATTCTAAGTATTTCGGTATCTATTATTATCTCGAAACAGATACTTGTATATAGCTGGAACAGAGATCGAGCACGAGTAGCACATGCCACAATTCATAGTTTTTTACTTTGGCGAACCCTTTCATGTGCAATGACGCACGCGTCTGTTATCTCAGAGAATTACTCTTTTTTTTCTTTCTCCTTCCTTCCTAACCATATAGACGCAGTCACAGGAAAAAGGGTCGTCGTGGTTGTTACTTCTTCTTTCTTCTCTTCTCTTCTCTTCTTTACTGGTAATGAATAGTAAAACTCTATTATCAGGCGACGAAATACTACTTCTAAGAAAATACTATGCAATTACAGGCGCGCAGATGGTGCACCTTCTTATTATAATGAAGGACTTGATCTTAGGTGTTCATTTGCATCTATACATGGACATTTTTTTCCTTGAATCTCGAGCCGGTTTCTCAGATCGTTCCTCTCTTTTTTGGTTTTTATTTTAATTCAGCTTGTGTGTATATAACCTCATATCGATAAAGTGTCATGGTATTGTTGAAAGGAGCAGGTGCTTCTGATCAATAAGAGGAATAATTGGTCTCTCTCTTTTAATTTTTTGCTCGTGTAGACAAAGGACTATTCAAAAATAGGTTTCTTTGAAAAATTTATCGAATAAGAGTGAATTAGAATGAATTAGAATGAATTAGAATAAATTGGAATGAATTAGACTTGCTAAGTTAGTGTGATTAAAAATTGGGGCGATTTTTTATTGTCTCTGGGAGATAATGAAGAAAATAAGAGTCCTGGGGATGAAAAAGTAATTCGTTTCGTGTTTCCAAATTTTTCGTTTTGGGGGTATTATCATAAACACCGAACGATTAGGTTAGAGCTCGATTCGACGCCCTATCGAAAAAGCGTCTCTCACGGCTAGCCGGTGTGTTCCAAACCTCGAGCAACTCGCCTCTCGTCCACAAAATCTCAAGCAGCGGCGAAACTGCCTTCTTCTCTTCTCTCTCATCCCCCATGGACCATATCGAAGAAAGGCGAGGATGAGAGAAGAAAAGAGATGAAGAACAAAAGGCGGAACCCGTTTTCGCCGATGGCGTGCCCGTGGATACTTAAAGCACTGGCGTCTTCCCAGAAGGGAAGTAACGTTTCGCCTCAGGGCGAAACGGGAGTCAGGACCTTGCCTTACCAACTCTCTTCTTCTTCTTCTTCTTCTTCCTCAGGCAATTGCCTCCTCATCGTTCCGAAATCCCAGCTCTCTTCGTAAACAACGATACAGATTACTACACAGCCTCTGTCTCTCTCTTCTCATCTTCGTTCTACGCTTTTTAAAACCCCAACTGCATGGGATACACCTGAACCATTAATTTTATGGAAAAAAAAGGTGCAAAAAAAATAAAGATCTTAAAGCAGAAATCACTGCTAAGTTAAAAACTCTTCGCCAAGATGAGAGCTATCGGAACCAAGTAAATTCATATTTTGGCTACCTTTCCTCATCAACTTCCCCTTCTCTGTTTGTTTACCAGCTGAGCTCCAGAAATTCACACGCACTTGTTTCAGAGAGTCTTGGCAAAAAAAAAAGATGAAGAGCAAAAAAGAAAATAAAAGGAAAACATAAAATTCAGATAAATGAAGATCAATCATAATAATGATTATAAAAATTTAATAGGATGAATTCTCACGGATGCTGCGTTGAAGAGGAGCAATTTTTCTGAGACAAGATGCTGAAACAATTTTCAAGAGAGGAACAATTTTCGGAAATTCATCATTTGGGACCAGATGGCGTGAAGAAAAAAATTTTTGGAAAAAAATATCAATTTTTGTAAATTTTCCAAGGACAATTTTTAGAAATTCTCCAAAACTTCTGACGAGATGCTGGAAAAAACGACAATTTTCATAAATTCTTCTTCACTTTTGGGACTAAATGCTGGAAAAAAAAGAAAATTTTTCAAAGTTTTTGAAACAGAATTTTTTTGAATTTTTTTAAGTGAATAATAAAAAGTGCTTGCGGGAAAATTGCGGAAAATAATAAAATAGGAAAAACGATGAAGGCAATTGGAATGTGAAATAGGGGAAAAGGTTAAAGGAGATGGCAAAATACTGTGTTCGAATAGAGAAAGTAAAATGCATATGATGAGAGGGAAAATGTCGTAATATGGCAACACTGTTTCACGCTAGAGGTTTGAGAAAAGGTGGGTGAGGTAAGAAATGAAACGTCAAAAGAAAAGAGGAAGAGGTGGAGAGATACAGAAGGAGGGAGGAGGAAGAACGCCTCTTTCCCAGAGTGTGCTCTTTGTGCCGGATGCGTGCCGTCGACGGACTGGCAATAGCGAAAGAACATCCGGTCTACCCCCGGGGCGCCGATTCACCTCAGGAGCAAAACACTTCCGAAATACCAGATTTCTTCACTCCCCAAACTATTCTCTTGAAGAAAAAATTTTTCTTCTTTTCTATTATCTTTTTTCCACTTTTCTCATTTTTCTTTTCTCTTTTCTCATTTTTCTTTTCTTTTTCCTCTTTTTTCCCTTTTCGTTTCTTTTTTCAAGGGAAAAATTTCCGAATAGCGGAAATTTCTCTCTAAAAAAATTCTCCCTTTTTTGAAAAACTTTACTTTTGCCTTTTTTTCCTCAGGCAAATTTTTCTTTGCTTTTTTCGATTTTAAACAAATTTGACTAGAAATCCTCTCTTTGGAAATTTTTTTCTACTATCAAAATTATTCTAATTAAGTTAATTTCGAGTTAATTTCGGAAAAGAAAATTATTTTCCACTATCAGAATATTTTTATTTAAGTTAATTGCCGAAAAGAAAAAATTCGGGAAACAATGGTTACAATCAAATTACAATAAAATTTATTTCTAAATTCGCATGTAATTTAAATAATAAAAAGTTTAAACTTCTTCGTTTGGCCAAACGAAGAAGTTTAAAATTTTTATTATTTATAACTAATTATTTATTTCCAATTGTAAAGCAAAATATTTAAATTAAATTAAAAAGAATATTTACTAATTAAATAATTTTTTATTGCAGAGAAAGTACTGTTGGCGAGATTAGCGACCCAGATGTGGTTGGGGATTGGACCAAAATGGATAGAGGTTGAGGAGCAGAATGCTCATTCGATGATGGCCTACGGGTTCAGAGTGATCTGCGCGCAAAACTACTATGGGCAAAAGTGTGAGAATTTCTGCAGGCCTCGGGACGATAGATTCGGGCATAACAGCTGCAGTCCGACAGGCGAACGTATTTGCCTCTCGGGATGGACCGGTGACTACTGCAACAAACGTAAGCTATACCCTCCTATTAAAAACCTTTTACTTGGAAATTGAGTGAGAGAGGAGAGAAGAGGAGAGAGATCCTCCTACGATCCCAGAGGTCGAAGCCGCGCGCTCTGCTCCACGGTTCACTCTTCTTGCTCAACAAACCAACATTGCCTCGAGTTATATACAAAGCTGCAGCAGCCTCCGTGTGTTAACTATAACATTTGCATTCTTCCTTCACTTGCAGTCCAATCACTTTCAAATATGTATATATATGTATACTTGCACATCGTGTGCCCTCTCCTTATATTCCTCTCTTTTCTTTGAAAAATTCTGTGGTTTATAAACACATTTCTCGCTCTCTCTCTCTCTATCTTTATCTTTGTGTTTCTCCTTCTTTTCCCCATCGCACCTTCGACATTCCAGAGGAAAACAATTGTCCTTTCTAATTTTCCCTCTGGGTAATGTTGTTTCTGATTTTGTACTTTTTGAGTTTTGAGAACAGAAAATAGTTTCGAAACTAGCTTCTATTTTTGATACTAGTTTCCGTCTTTAAATCTAATTTCTATTTTCGAAACTAGTTTCTAAGACAGAAACTAGTGTCAAAAACAGAAGCTAATTTCAAAAACAGAAAAAGAAAAGAAAGAGAAAAGAAAAGAAAAGAAAAGTAGAGAAAAGAAGAGAAGAGAAAAGTAGAGAATAGAAGAGAAGAGAAAAGTAGAGAAAAGAAAGAGAAGAGAGAAGAAGAAGAGAATAGAAAGCAGACAAGTTTTTAGTGTGTGTAATTGTTTTAAAAATAATTCTAAAAGTCGAGTTGAGAAAAATAAATACACCACTTGAGAGCTTTCTCTCTTTTCTTCTTTCCTTCTTCTCCTCTCTTTTTTTTTTGTTTTAAAAAACTCTCTACTGTTTCTCTCTTACTGCCGACTGGCGTCTAGACAAGAAGCAATCCCTTTTCGTAATATTAGACTCGTATGATGGGATGATAAACTACCAGTAGGATAATTGCAGAGGCTCAATTATCCCAAGTGGAAATGATACAAGCGGAGCTATAGCTATTGGTAGACCACCTCTCTATCCTTTTTGTGGATCTTATAAATGCCATAACTCACTTGTAACATGGTTTGCCTCCTTTAAAAACGCATAATAGTCTTCCAGCTTCTCTGATTTCAATCTCCGCATGTTTTTAACCTTTCCTTCATTCTTTTTCACCTCCGATTTTCCCTTATTGCAAAATTGAGAAAAGAAGACGAAGAAGAAGGAGAAGAAGGAAAGAAAAAACGAGGTTGCTGCTGCTGCTGGGTATATTTTACTAATTGTTCATTCCTGGGCTATTGACCTCTTGGATCGAGGATTAGAGATTGTATAATATTTTCTGTGTGAGCATATTGAACGATGCAAAAGAAATTTTTGGTTTAAAGAAATAATGTTTTCAAGTTTTCGACGTTCAATTGAGCGGAATTTTTATTGTGTTCTAATTTTCTTCCTATTTCTCTAAATAATTCAATTTATTTAAAATAATTACATTTTTGAAATAATTTCTTAAAGATATCAATTTTAATTTATTTGAAAAAGAATTTTGTTAAAAATTGTTGCAAATTTTTGGAAATCATTTAATTTCAGGGGTTAAAATGAAATTTTTTGAGAATTTTTAATTACAGTGAAGAAATTAATAATAAATATTTATTTAGGAAATTATTTTAGTTTTCAATATTCAAAATTCTGAAAAATGAAGTTTTACAAATATTTTCGTTCATTTTTTTGAAGATAATTAAATTTTTATAAATAATTTAAAATTTTCGAAATAATTGAAATTTTCTAAAATTCTGATAAAAATAATAGAATTTTTTTTTGGAATTTTATTAAATTAATTGAGTTATTTGTTAAATAATAATTATTATTGTAAATAATTGAATATTTGAAAATAATTGAATTCTTTAAGAGTTATATTCAAAAATCTAAAAATAATTGAATTTTTAAAGACTTTTTTCAATTTTCTGCAAATAATCGAATTTTTAAAGAATTTTTTTCAATTTTCTGGAAATAATTGAATTTTTAAAGAATTTTATTCAAATTTCTGAAAATAATTGAATTAAACATTTAATTAGTTTAAAATTAATTTTGTATTTATAAAAATAGAATATTTTGTAATAAAATTGAAAGTGAAAAAATTGTTTAAAAAAATGATCGCTCATTTGAAAGTTCGAAACCCTAGGGGAATAATTTTCGTTCAATCTGGTCATAAAATTGTATTTTTAAGTAGAAAATAATTTTTTTTAATGAAATTGTACAAATTAAGTCCCGAGGTATGCTAAATCCTGAAGAAAAAATTTTGTTCCGTTTCTAGGATTTTTTAAAGAGTAAAAAATATTTTTTTTCAGGAAATGTCTTTTCGGTCTAATGGTTTTTTCTTCCTACTTTCAGTTTTTTTAGCAGTTGCCAATTTTTCATGTCAGATTTCAAATCGACTGGAAAAACGTTTTTGGATTCGAAATCGAGAAGTTTGGATTGTTTCAAAAATATAGATCAATTCGCAATTGGAATTTTTTGTATCAAAAATCTATCGCAATTCGTTTTTGGATTCGGATTGGATTTTTTGTATGGAGAATCGAGAAATTTGGATCGTTGCGAAAGAATAGACGGGACTTTGGATTAGAAATCAAAAAATCGTTGCAAATTCGCAAAGTGGATTTTGAATTCGGATTTTTTGTATTGGAAATCGAAATTCAAGTTTCGCCGATCATTGCGCGAGAATAGATCAAACTCTGCAGCAATGGGACTTCTCTCAGCGAGAGAAGTGATTGTCCGCGAAATGTTATGTGAATAGACATATCCTGAAAATGGAACGGGGATAACACGACTCCTGCAGCAGCAGCAACAGCAGCAGCAACTATCGAAAGTTGGTTGCTAAGGGACGAAGTAAGACCCTGTCGGTACCTGAGCCTGATGTCTGAGAACAGTTTCCCACGCTTCATGCGCGCGCGCACACACTCTGACTCAGTTCATCTTTCTTTCTCTCTTTGCAAGCGGGTGTATTAGCTTCCTCGTCTTTTACTTCGCGAACCTGCGGACCGACTGGATCGGTCGCTCCTCGCAGACCAGCAGAGAAGTCGACTTGGCGAGCGAATAAACACAAGCGTAGATGTTACTTGTTTTTTGATCCCTCTCTTTTTCTCTCTCTCTCTCTCTACTTCTCTTTCTCGTCAGCTATGAAAATCATACATGTATTAAAACTACTTCTCATTTTTCATTCCTCCACAAAATTATCATTCTAAAAATATCTCCTTTTTTGCAAAAAGGCGAATTTTTCCCTCATTCTTCATTCTCTGCGATTTAAATTAGCAGATTTTTCAGTTTTCTGGAATTTTTCTCTCATTCCTCATTGATTAGATTTTCTTAGTTTACTTTTTTGATTCTTTATTCTCAGCGATTTAAATTAGCAGATTTTTCAGTTTTCCGGGATTTTTTCTCTCATTCCTCATAGATTTTTTTAGTTTACTTTTTCGATTCGATTTTTAAATTTTCTTTGATTTAAATTTTTAACTAAGCAGCTTTTTTCATTTTTCTGTGATTTAAACTCCAGAACCAATTTTTCGTTCCTTTGGGATTTGAACTAGGTTTTTTTTCATTTTTCTGGAATTTTAATTAGCATTTTAAATGACGTATGTATTTTATCGATGAAGGATTATTGCCTCATATGTTTGTAGAATAAAAAGGCAAAGGGGGAAAAATGTGGAAAAAAAGATTTGTAGATATGATTAGAGGAAAAATATCGAATTAGAGTGATATGTGTAATTTATGGATCGATGATGGTTTTAGCGAAGCGAATTTTTCCTTTATCTGCGGAGGGTTTTTTCTCACGTTACGAATCATTAAGTCATCAGTATTTTCTATGCTGATTAGCATTTTTTTGTCATTACCAACATATTTTATATGATCCTGGTGGCGATGGTGGTGGTGGTGGTGGTGGTGTATTACCAACTGGATAAATCTACTTTCAGATGTGTATATATGGCCTTTGCGAAATTATTGTGCGCAGGAGACTTCACAAAGAGTGTGTCCTTGATTCGAATGTAATAAAATTGCAATATCGTCTCTCTTATTCTCCGTATTCTCTCCTTTCATTCATTTATGAATTTTCTTCGTTTTTTTTGTAGAAAAAGACGTTTTTCTTTAATGTGATTTTTTATTTGTTCTTTTGCAATTTTTTGGATTCTTTTCTCGATTTTCTTCTTTTTTCGTTTCTATATTTTTCGTTCTCCCCTTTTTTTCGTTTCTCTATTTTTTTTCCTTTTTCGTTTCTCTATTTTTCGTTTTTCCCCTTTTTTTCTTTTTTCATATCTATATTTTTCATTTTTCCCCTTTTTTCGTTTCTCTATTTTCTATTTTTCTTGTTCTTTTTTCGTTCCTCTATTTCTCGTTTGCCTATTTTTTCCTTTTTCGATTTTTCTTCTCTCGCCTTTTTCCCTTTTTTTCCTTTTCTTCGCCTTTCGATCAAAAAACGAAAATCGAAGAAAAAGGAAAAAAAGAGGGAAAACGAAGTTTTTCCTTCTTTTTTCCTTTTTCTTCGATTTTCCCTCAACAAGTGAATTAGATGCAAATTAAATTACACGGAGAGTCATCAGGGTCGTTGCACTTTTAGTTTTGTGCGCGTATACACGATGTGTCTCGCGTAAAGGACACACATTCACTCAGTATAGAGAATGACAGAGAGTTTGCGAATGGATTACTAAATAGAATTGATTTCAAATGATGTTCTTCTCTCTTCGGTTGATGGTTCTTCCTGAACGAACTCTTTTTTTTTCCTCTCGCGCTTTCTTTTCTTTTTTTTGCATTTTATTTTTTTTTTTTTTTTGATGAAAGAAAGGAATTTTTTCGCACTTCTAATTGGACTTTTTTTGGACACCTTACTCTTCACACGTTTATTAACGCGTATGTTATTTTTATTTTCCTCTTCATTATCTCTTGTTCGTCGAGATTTTCAAGACTAAACTCGTCTTTCGTGCATTCACAGCATTTCTTTCGGTAATAGGACAGCGGACGAATCAGATAGCATTTAAAAGCGCGCAGTGCAAACATACTCCAAGTCTGCTTAACGTTTCGCATGAATCGTGTTGCTAGTTACACACACGCAATAAGAAGAATTGGACAGTCATGCTCTTTTTTCTTCTTTCTTTTATTTTTGGTTTTCGGCCTTGGAATGAGAATTTGAATATTTAATATTTACCGGAAAGAATTGGTTTTGATCTACTGTAAATATTGCTTTTGGTTTTCTTTTCTTTGTAGTTTAAGGTTTCGTTTCGTTTCGTTTCGTCTTTGTGTCAATTTCGTTCGCAGTTTTTGGTCCGATTAGAGTAAAATTCGTTCAGAAGAAAAAAAAAACAATTTCTTTAGTTTAGAGTAAATTTTTTTGAATTTCGTCTTGTAAAATTTAATCGAGCCAAAGGGTTGAGAAGGAGGGGGAGAAATAGAGTTTTTCGGGGGTGCCACCTCGCCATTTTGATATAGGGGTTGAGGGGTGAAAAACGAAGCAGCTGCAACACGACGGCAAGCCGAGAGCGAGTGGCCGCGACAGCTGCTCTTGGGTGCTTTAACCAACAGCTGCACTGGACTAGCATTCGGCTCAGTCCACTTCCATGCGTTTTATAAACTCTCCACGGTTTCCCTTCTTGTCCTCAAAAAATTTCTTTTCATTTCTCAAGGCGCACGCTTTTATATTCAATTTTCCTTTTTACCTGCTCCCGAAAAACTTTTCTTCGAAATCTTCTTCGAATCTCGAGGCACATGTCGCTTTTCACAGCATCCACTCGAATACCCCGAGGGAAAAATAGAGAGAGAGAGAGAGAAAAAGAGCAGGTATAATAATCAAAGCTTGACGACGTTGAATTTATATGCATTCCAGGAAATTAGGGTCTGCAGGAATGAAAAACGTCAGTTGGAAAATCGATTTGTTCGTTGTTGGTCCGAATATTTCCAGAGACTTCATTTTTTTTCAGCTCTACAATTTTAATTTTTTCTTTCATTTTCTTTTATCAAAACATTACTAAAATCGTCGATTAAAACAAATTCAAGAACTTACGTTCTTGAATTTGTTTTAATCGACGATTTTAGTAATAATTTTTTGATTTGAAGACTTTTTTAATTTCTGTTTTTTGATTTGACGGTATGATTTTAGATTGTGTCGAGGAGAGAGAGGAATAAAAATGGTGGGACACGATTTCACGGTTGTTGGGGTTTCTTTTGTTGGTTGGACCAGAGGAATCTCTACGATTCGTTCATTCCTTTCGGCGTCGATCCAAAGAGACGCTGGACTATAAATACCTACCTACTCCACTGAGTACTCTGTGTGCTACTCGAACTCTAGTCGACAAGAACTCCATGCACCGGCCGGTGTTGCCTCGATGCCAAGGTCACGCGGTCCACCCGCTTCACCCCGACTCTTCTCCTCGCATCCCAATCTCTCTCTCTCTCTCTCTCACTCGACTCTCTTCTCATATACCTGATTCGTGTATAGCCACCTTCAACCCCATTCAGAACCTGCTACCATCACAGTCTGTCGATCATCTTTTTTTTCCTTCTTTGTTGTTGCACTTTTAAGTTTTACTTTTAAGTTGTACTTTCAAATTTTACTCTTGTTTTTAATCTCCACTTTTGAGTTCTGCTTTCAAGTTGAGTCTTCAATTTTGAGTCTCGCACTTAATCGTCTTCGGTTTCGATTTTCGAAGGAAAAAAGACGAAGAAGAAGAAAAAAAACGAAGAGAAGCAGAAGAAAAAAGGAAAAGGAGGAGAAGTTCCAAAGACAAAATTCTGTGACGCAATTGTAATGGGAAATCACCGATTATTGCGCCGGTTCGAATTTCTTTTCTGTAATAATGACTTTGTTGCGATTTCTCCTGCAAAGAAAAGCAAAGGCGAAGGAGGAGGAGGAGGGATGAGTATAATTCTAGAATATCTAATCGATGCGCTAGAGTTATATAGGAGAATTTATTTATTTGCAGGCAAAAGCAAGCAAAAGGCCTCCTCGAACGATACTTTCTCCTTTGGCTCGAGAGACTCCAGGTTTGAAAAAGAATATCCTTCAAGAAAGCGAGTTCCGTATATATGTATATACATTGATAGAGGCTCCTCTCCTCATGGTGTGTTATTCTCCTCATCGACTTGGAATCCTACATGTATCGCACGAGGTTGTCCGTTTCACAGCGATATACCCTGAAGCACGATCTTTGGTACCGACCTCCTATAACGTGCATCTCCCATATGTGCACCGACTGCTTCTTCTTCTTCTTCGTCTTCGTCGTCGCCGTCGTCGTCCTCTTCTTCCTTCATTATGAATCGAAACCGAAGACGATTTCTACCATACACGTTGTTGTCTTCAATCTCTCATGCTGACTTGATTGCTGCCGCAAAATGTCTTCGCCTACACGATTTAGAAACCGAGAATCTTCAATTTTTCCCCTCGATTCGCGAAAACTGTTTTCTAATTGGAAATTTTAGTATAAATCATCGATTCTTTTTTCTATTCGAATTTGTTAGTCTTTTTTTTCGTTTCTATTTTTTTCTTCCTCTCTGAAAATGAGTATTTTAATTTTTCGTCATTTTGCGATAGTTTTTTTTCTTTCCTCTCTAAAAAAGAAAATTCATAATTTGTCACTGATTTTGGTGTCAAATCGAATTTGACTCATTCTTGATGGCAGTATTTTTTCTACCAACTCATTCGAATTTTTTCCTTTATTGATTTTGTTGATTCGAAATTTTTTCTCTTCCCCGAAAGAGAAAATTCTCATTCGCTCGCGGTTAATTTTAATGTTGAATCTTGGAATTATAATACACCTTAATATTACGAGAGTTAGAGAGAGAGGACTTGGACAATTAAGTTTTTGAGATTCTTGAAAATTTCTATAATTGATCGTGACTTGGAGGTTAAATTTCTCGGATTCTAATCTTTTTAATTAGTCATAAAAAGTCGCAAGATATTCAAATGATTAGTTTTCATTGTCGGTGTCGTATAAAGAACCGAGAAACATAAAAGATGTCCCACAATGACTATTAATTTAATCATGTTGATGCGGCTAACAATTTATTTTCGCTTCTTTTTTTTTGCTCCCCTCTTCTTTTTTATTTATTAATTTTTTTTTCTCCTTAGGTGTGTAATTTTTTTCTCTGATTTCGCATTTTCTTCTTTTTTTTCGCATTTTTATCTTTCTTGTCTCATCTTTTTTGTCGTCATCGTTTTTGGATTTTTTCTTTTCGCCTTCTTTCCCCTTTGAATTTTTTGTCTTTTTGCCTTTTTTTTTTTTTTTGCAATTTTTCGCCCTTTCCTTCTCTCTTTTTACGTAATTCACATCTTTTTTTTCTTTCCCATAGTATTTTTTATGACTTTTTCCGCAATTCTTTTTCTTTTTTTTTTTATTGGTTTTGTCGATTTTCTCACACATTTTGTTTTCGGGGAATTGAAAAATTGAAGGAGAAAGAATTCCGGAACCGAGGAAGAAGTCGTCATCTGTGTGCTTTTTAATATGAATTCGAGTAGTGTTGAGGGAGAGTCTCTCCTTGTATATATAGAAATTGTATTGGTGCTGGTAACTGTCAGTGGCTGCGAGCCAAACGAGCCTTTGGATATTTGCGGACTGGACAAACGGCTCTAAACGTGACACAATTTCATTACCGCTGCAGTATTATTGCGCTCTTTAAAATCCCTTTTTCACTAGCATACCTCGGGGGATTTGTACAATTTAAATAGTTTTTTTTTTTTGTAAACAGCACGTCTAATTAATAATCCTCTGATTATGTTATTATATTGTTAAATGAATGATTCAACGCTCATCGTAAATTCCTCGCGTGGAGAAATAATCGTTATTTTTCCTTTATGACATTTTCATTTATTTTTTTTTTTATTGTTGATGGAAAATTAATGTGAAACGATTATTTATTTATTGATAGTGATAGTTGACTATTTGTTTGTTAATTATTTTTTCCTTGACGATGATGATTTTTTCTTGACGATTATTTTCTCTTGGCGATTTTTTTTATTGATAATTTTTTCTTGGGCAATATTTTAGTGGGATTTTAGTGGGATAATTTTCGAAGTGAAGATTTACAATTTCGAAAAAGAGAGGGCAAAACTTTTCGCTGGGAGTTTTAATTAAATGAAGTTTTAATTAAGGCTTTAACGAAGGTGGCTCTTTAATTTTTCGGAAAGGGTTTTTAAGAGTTGATCTGAGGAATTAATGAGGCGTGCTGTGCTTTACTGTACATACCAACAGTGCATTGTATCGCTCTCTTACCAGTCGTGAGGGACGCGATCGACCTCTTGTGGAGAGTTGCCTTAACCTTTGAATTTTTTCTTGCTCGTTTCAGCCAGCTGCCTGCCCGGATGCGACGAGCAACACGGACACTGCAATCGACCCAACGAATGCATGTGAGTATATACTCCTGTACCGGTATTACATTCTGTTCGATGCAATGTGGCTGCTCCCACCACCACCTTCTCATCCTTCTTCTTTTTCCTCTTTTTTTTTATTCCTCCTCCTCCTCCTCCTCGTCGTCTTCTTCTTCTTCTTCTTCTTCTTCTCCTTTGCAAAAGAGCTTGTCGAGGAAAGCAGGACGAAGAAGAATTCGAAGCGTTTCCGTCGCTACTCGCGGTGGCGATCCCCGATCCTTCCTTCTCTTTGATTTACCTCACATCGCCGGGTTAACGCGAACATTCTCCCCGGTTCTAAATCGTGACGCGAACTCCAACCTGCAACCAACTCTTGACTCCCTCCTTTCAGCCCCTCCTCGTCCCTCTTTTTCTCCATTCACATTTTTATTCAACTTGGCAAAAGAGTGTGGAATTTAATTAGAACCTGGAATCCTTGCTTCATTTCGAATCCTTTAAATTTATCGCCTTAAAAATCTTTTTTTTTCTCTTTTACAGTATTACAATTTTCATCCGGACATTTCTTTCTTTTTTTCAAAAACCTAAACCCGTTTATTAACCGGAGACTCCGGAGAGTCAATTATAACCAATGGAGAGAAAGATAATACACGAATTAGTCGGCAATTATATCTGGAGTAATTTGATTATCATCGTAAATCATCATTTGGATAGCGAAATTGAATTTTAATTGCTGGGAGGAATGTGTGTAGAAAGAAAAAATTGTTCGAGAAGGAGAAAGATTAGACAAGATTTAAGGAGAGAAAAGGAAGTGTTTTTGACTCTTGTTGTAAATATTCTCTCGCGAGCAGCACCATTAGGATTCAAAAAGTTGTAGGAAAGAATTTCAAGAGTCTTAGAAAAGGTTAAAAGGAATAGTGCGTTTTAAAAAGAGGAAGGAGAAAAAAAAATGTGAAATTCATTGAAATGAAATATGAAACGACCTTGCATTTTGCTCGGTGAGATCAAAGAGATATGAAAGGAATTAAAAGCCTATTAATGCAGCACTTGGCTGCACTTAAACGTTGATTCGCTGATTCAGCCGCGGTCTTTCTCTCTCTCTCTCTTTCTCTCTCGCGAGGGGAAAATTCTCTCTTCGATGCAAAAAGCTTATATTAAAGTGCGAATCAGAAGCTTATTAAAAGCGCCTTTGGTATTTTAATGTTATTCGCAAAAATTGCTTCTCGATTTTCTTCGATCTTTCCAATCTTACAAGAAATTTTTCAGATTCATGTTTATAGTGATTGAGTGTGAAAGAAACAGGAATCTAAAAAAAAATCGTCGAGTGTTTGAAGTAAACTGCGATGGAGATAAAATGTATTTGTCGCCATAATATACAACATCGATAGAAATCTCGGTTCCATCGCCGTTAACCCGAGCTTTGAATTTAACTCGATCATCTAATTACTCCACGGCCGAGGTTAATTGTCCCGTTAGCTGCAACCTCGAGCTTTGCCTCGAACGACGTTGACGTCCGTCTTCATTCGTCTCCTTCTTCTTCTTCTGACATTTAACTACGTGTCTCTTTATCTTCTATTCTTCCACCCCTCCCACTTAATTCTTCATACACTCGTTCTCTCTCACAGACACAAACACTAACACCGAGGCACAAATCTCGCTTTTAATAGTTCCCTGAGGTGAGAACGATAACAATTTCAATGCTCGTATTCGGTGTATATCGATTTGATACCACTGGTATGTTGATGCTAAATTGACGCTCGTGGGAAGTGTTTAAGAAACATTTTTTATTAGCGCTCATCCTCTATTTTCATTAATTTCCCTTCTTTCGCCTCATTCGATTTCTTGACAGCAAAATAGAAAATTTATTTTTATTGAATTTGCGAATTTATTTTAATTTTCTACTCATCTTCTCTATTTTCATTAAAATCCTCTTTAATTCAATTACTTAATAATTTCAATTCTTTCGAATCTGATTTATTTCGAAAAAAAGGTGGAAATTCTTTTTGAATTTAGAAAATTGAGTTTTGGAAATTTTTCTGACACTATTTTGTTTCAACGAGATAAAAATATAGTTTGATAGAAGAATTTTTTGTGAATTTGGAAAATTAATTTCAAATTTGGAAATTATGTAAAAATTCTTTCGCTGTTGAATTGATTTTGAAAAGTGATTCGAGGAAAAATTATTTATTATGGACCATTTGAATCCTTTTCTCAATTTCAAGGACGTTTTCGCAATTTTTCTTAGTTTTATTTACAAAAATTTTCTTTTAATTTCTTAAACAGTATTTTTTTTTTTCAACGAGAAAAAAAATGTTTTTCGAGAAATAATTCAAAAGAAAGGAATTTGAGATTTTCGTGAAAAATAAAAAACAGAAAAAAGGCGATGGAATTTTTGAAGAGGAAAAATTCTTTTCAATTTCAAGATTAGAATCGATTGAACGCGCTTAGGCAATTCGTAATAGAACATGACGAAGAGTTAATTTATGAGCACAACTCATTGCCGACACGAGACTTAAGACTTCTTCTTTTATTTTTTTTTCCTCCTCTGGATGGTTGATCATCACTCGACCAATTATTGTTCAAGTTAAGTCTCGCGGCATTTAGTGTAAGTGTCGATTCCTCTGAAGTGCTTTTTTTCTTCTGTTTGATTAGGAGAGTTTACTTAATATCGCTTCCTTGACGGTTTTAACTCAAAAGTTAAATACACAATCTTCATTATCGAGTTTTTCTTCCCTTTTTTTCTCTCTCTCTCTCTCTCTCTCTTTGAATATATGTATTACTTACTGGCTTCAATTTTTTTCTAATTAGAATAAAATAAATTTCTTGAAAGCACTTGAAATCGTGAATGATATCTCTCTGGGGAATTAATTTGAACGAAGGGAATAGGTAAATTCTAGACTATGTAATAAGTAAATATCACGTGTGAAGAAGTGAGTCATTCTCGGATTGTTCTAGAAGTCGAGTTTTTGTGTTTTTTTTGGAATATTTGGAATTTTTCGAAAGAAAACGAATTTTTAGGGGGGAAAATTATTTTTTCTTATTCAACTTTTTTAGATTAGGAATTTTTTTCTTTTTCGTTGTTTTCGATAAAAAATTTCTCCAGGCAAAACTTTGTCTTTTTCCATTTTTTTTTTTTTTTTTTTGACAAAAAATTGAAAAAGCTGACAAAATTTTTACAAAAAATTGAAAAATATTCTCTATTTTTTCAATAAAAAATTGAAAAAGACCAAAAATTCCTCGAAGGAAAAATTTGGTTTCGATGAAAAAAAAAAATTGACAAATTGCGGTTATTGAAAAAAAAGTGTCTGCTTTTGCCTGAAAAGAGAATGGATTCGAAATAACTAGTCTTATCAAGATTAATTTACTAGATTGATGAGATGAGGAGAGACTATTCTCGAGGACCATATAATATGCAACAAAGGATTTGAATCTTGTCAGAGAAACCTCGAGTTTTATTCAACTTTCGAGAATACTGACTCATACTTTGGGGAATAAATACACATGCGATGATGGATTAGGATTAGAGGTCCAGGTTCAGCTTTAAATTGTACGAAATGAATGAATAGACCCTTAATGAAATAGAACCGTTTAAAATGGGTGGTGTCCGAGTTCCGTCCGGGTCAAAAGTGACACACACGGGTCAATGGAACTTGTTGCCGGGAATCAAGTTCAATTTTGTTTTAGAAAATCGGTGTTTACGAAAGTATTTTTTCGTTTCTCTCTTTCTCTCTTTTTTTCTTTTGTGTTGACCCTTTATTTCGATTTTCTCTATTTTTCGATTTGATCTTGAAAAATACAGAAAATCAAAAAACGGGACAAAGCCTTTTGGCTTTGTCCCGTTTTTCGATTTTCTGTATTTTTTGTTTTGTCCCGTTTTTCGCTTTTCTCTATTTTTCGTTTGTCCCATTTTTCGCCTCTCACATTTTCGGTTTCCTCTTTTTTCCTTTTGTCCCTTTTTTCTTATTTTCGTTTCGCTTTTTTCGTTTTGTCCCGTTTTTCGCTTTTCTCTATTTTTCGTTTCGCCCCGTTTTTCACCTCTCACATTTCGGTTTCGTCATTTTTTCCTTTTGTCCCTTTTTCGCTTCTCTCTGATTTTCGTTTCGCTTCTATTCGTTTCGCCCCTTTCTCGGTTTTCTCTTTTTTTCGTATCGTCCTTTTTTTTTGATTTTGGTTTTTTTTTGCCGTCCCCTGGAAAAAGCTTTTCTTGGTCACACATATCCCTTCTGATTACGCGTTTCCGCGTAAGGCGATGAACGTGCTGTTAGAAACCGTGGGATCGGCCCCATTCAGATTACGTGGAGGAATCGTCGGGGAAGGTCTGATGCGAAAATTTCGGAGTCTATCGGCGAACGTGTCAGTATACTTGAATACCGATGAAGATACGCGAAAAACCATTGGCGTAGAGGAGAGAGAGAGAGAGAGAAGAAAGGACGACGAAGACACCCGCGCGGTTGCACCCGGTTCGTTGCTTCGTGATGCTTCGGCCGGTTTCGCTTGACTTTACCTGCGAGAGTTTTCGTGAGTGTGTGTATGTGTGCTTATTGGATTTAATGGTGTGTATAAAGTCCATACGATGAGTGGTTGTGTTGCTGGCGATGGTATTAGTGGGCAGAGCGAGCCGCGCACACACAGAGGAGCGTAACCTTTCCTTGACCCGCATACTGAACGGCTGTGCCGAGCCTCGAACCGTGGGAACACTCGACGACTCGTCCCCACTCTCTGGGTCCTGCCTCCTCTTCTCCCGTGTGTTTCATTCTCTCTTTTTTCCTCTGTCCCTCTTGTACTCGTCTCTAATCCGTCTATCTTGCTCTTGTTTCATTTCTCTCTCCCTCTCTCTCTCTCTCTCTTTCTTCTTTCTTGTCTCCTCTCGGTTCCACTCACTGGGGCCTTTCATCTCTGTTGGTTTCGCCTCATCCCGTTCCCTTCACCGCTCGCGAGTCACGGTTCTGTGGACTCTTCGTAGCCCCCTGGACAACGCAGCGTAATGGCCGACCACCACATCCTTTCTCTCTCTTTCTTTTCCAGCAGCTTTTTTTCAAAAAATATTCCAAATAATCAGAATGTATAATTAGGAATTTTCTCTATATTTTCAGATGTCACACAGGCTGGAAGGGACCGTTTTGCGACCAGTGCGAGATGTACCCGGGCTGCAAGCACGGAATTTGTCACAAGCCTTGGGAGTGTCTGTGCGATGAGGGTTGGGGTGGTCTCTTCTGTAATCAGGATCTGAACTACTGTACGAATCACAAGCCCTGCAGGAACAATGGCACCTGCTTCAACACTGGCCAGGGCTCGTACACCTGCTCATGTGCGCCCGGCTTCACTGGTAACGATTGTGAAAAGTCGCTTTTGGATTGTCACGCGAAGCCGTGTTTGAATGGCGGCTCGTGCAGTATGGAGCGCAACGTTAATGGGAATTCGAGTGTCAGCGACACGACGGCAATTGGGAAGGTGAATTCGGCGCGGGCCTATCGTTGCACATGTCCGGCGGGATGGCGAGGACGTCACTGTGAGATTAGCACGAGATCATGTCGAGATTCGCCGTGCTCGCACGGTGCCACCTGCGAGGACGATTCCCTCAAGGGATATACCTGCCTGTGTCCACCGGGCTTCACCGGCCACGAGTGCGAGCAGCAGATCGACGAGTGCGCGCCCAATCCGTGTTCGAACGGTGGCACCTGCGCTGACCTTGTCAATGGCTTCAATTGCACCTGTCCATCGGGTTTCGCTGGCGAACGCTGTGAGACCAACATTGACGACTGCCAGGGCGATCCGTGCTTGAACGGCGGGACCTGCAAGGATCTCATCAATCAATTCCGATGCCTCTGCGTCCCGGGATTCGTCGGCAGGCTGTGTCAGGACAAGGTTGATTATTGCCAGACGAAGCCTTGCGCGAATGGAGGGAAATGCATCTCGGGGACTAATGACTATCAGTGCAGTTGCAAGGCGGGATTCACGGGGAAGGACTGCAGTATTTTTGTCGACGAGTGCAAGAGTTTGCCGTGCCAGAATGGAGGGACTTGTCGGAATGTGGTGAACGGGTTCGTCTGCGAGTGCCAGGAGGGCTACCGAGGCGAGACTTGTGGCGAGGAGGGCTCGGGGACGGCTATTCTGTCGGCGGCAGCGGCGGCGGCTATCAACGTTCCGGTGCCACCGTCGGGAGCGAGTTACTGGTCGGGCAACCTGTCGAAGCACGTCGCGTCGGCCGAGGCGACGAACAAGGGGCTGACAACGGAGCATGTGGTTGTGATCGCGACGCTGTCGACGGCGGTGCCGGCCTTCGTCCTGGTGGCGGCGATCGCCGTGATGTGCATGAAGCGGCGGCAGAAGAGGGAGCAGGCCAAGGCCGACGAGGAGGCGCGCCTGCAGAACGAGAGGAACGCGGTGCACAGCAGCATGAGCAAACGCGGTGTCGGAGTGATTAGTGGGAACACCGGCGGCAATGGGGGTGGACTGTTGAGCAACGGCAGTGGGATCGGTAGTGTGTGCACTCTGGGCGCGGGCGACGCTCACATGATCAAGAACACGTGGACGGCGAACAAGAGTGTGAACAATGCTTCCGTGAGAGAGGATCTCGATTCCTCGTTTCAAACGGAAGACAGCTCGTGCTCGGGCTACAAGCCGGAGCCCGTTCTCCAGGACGGAAGATCGAGGTCGACCAAGCAGCTCAATACGGAAGCTGCCGCGCATCGAGCCTCGCATCTTTTCCAGAAGGAGAAGGAGTGCGGCCTCACCGTCGGGGTCGGTGTTATGGAATCAAAGAGGACTTCCGTTTTTGCCGGAAATCCAGCCGACTCTTGTTGTGGGGAGGCGGCGCTGTTGAAAAGGCCGAGCCCGCTGGGCGACGGCAGTCCGGGCGGTGGACCCGGCTCGGACGGTGGATGTGGTGTTTACGTGATAGACGATCATTATAGGCATGACGCGGCTCTCGCGGCAACACTCGCCACCGAAGTGTAGCCGCGCATGGACCATAAACAAAATATCCTCAAGACTTTCTTTTGTGTTTAGTTCTTTCTTTGTACGATATGAAAAAAAAAAATTAATTAACGATAAAAGAAAAAACAAGAGCGGCAAATGTGTTCTCGGTGTGTCTGTGTTGATTCGTCGACGAAGAATGAATGCGCGCCGTCTTTTTTATTTTGACGTACGCTAGTTTCGTACGTCACTGCTCTCGAAAGCTATCGACTCTAGTTTGCAACGTTGCAAACTGATGGAAAGCGACGAAAGAGCGAAGAATGCTGTGGGGGTCGCGCGCCCCGTCCGTTTAAGTATTAATATTATCAATGCTCGAAGCACTTTTGTACAGAACTAATTTATTATATTTGTTATTTACTATTACTGTGAACGCTATTAATATTATTGTCACATTGTTCCAGTAATTCGTGCGTAAGAATGAAAAAAAAAGTGAATGTATGTTGCGATGATGAGGAATAGAGATTATAGTGCGATTTTTTTGTAATTGACTTTTTTTTAGATGCCCTTTTTTTCTTTCTTTTTTTTGGATCTCTTTATTCGACGGTAATGCGCAAAATCATGGGAAAGCCGAGTGAAAGGGTGATAACGTATACAGCTTTTCGAGGCGCATCGCTTCTTCGAACTATTCAATTATTATTTAATTCTTAATTTTCAATACTATGCCAATAATGCTGATATGAAAATTATCAATATTCTTTCCATCAATCAGTTATTTTTGCCATAATTAAATAATTTTGAATAATTCTCTCTCAAGAATCAAAATTTGATTTTATTCCAAATTTGCTTTTTGAGAGACTAATGCACCTCGAAAAGAAAAATTGGGTCTAATTTTGATAGAAGGCAAAAGTCGATAATATCGAAATCAATTTTAATTTCCATATTATCGAAAAGGATTTTTTTCGATTTTTCACAGAGTAAAATCTGAAGAAAATACCTTCGATCAAATATATCCAACGTTATGTTAACAGAAAACAAGTGCGTTTCTCTTTTGAACAAAAAAGCCATTGTCGATTTTTGGAAAAGATTTTTTTTTCACACTATTGACCTCCGCGATCAAATTTCATGTTTGCTGATCAATTTTTTTTTCTCTTTCAAAAATTCGATTGACACTTGACAATACCGAGTTTAATTCGGTAAATCTCTTGTGCTCGTTTCTATTTTTTGTATACAATGAAATTAAATTTTCAAAAACCAACAAAAAAAAGCAAACAAACAAAACAATTGTGCGCACAGTGTTTCCAAAGTCCATTTATGTTTGTTCGTGTTATGTGTTTGTTCTCATTTTCGCTGTGAACCAAAAAAAAAAAAAAAAAAATTAAATAAAAATAGTAAAAAAAAGACGCCAATTTCACAGCGAAAATGCGAAATAGAATCACTTTCAAATGTGTCGACGATCTCGAAGGCAGCAAAACAATATTTTTTTTCAGTCTTTCAAAATAGTTTTTCTTTTCGTTAGTTGGGAACTCGAAAATCAATTTCTCCGCCGCTGAGTAAAGTTTCCCCGGGTGGTAAATTTTAATCAGAGGTGAAGGAATCTGAGGGTGATATTAATCAAAGAGTTCCGATTTTTTTTTCTTTTTTTTTCTCTCCACACATACAGTGAGTCATTAGAATGCGATTATTTTTTTTCTCTCATTCCAACGACTCGCGAATTTCTCGCATTTATAATATATCGAAGAAAGACTGCAGCGAATGAATAAATAGTTTTTAGCTTATAAATAAATAAATAAATAAATAAATATATAGATAGATAAATATATATGTATGTATATATATAGAAGAATAAATATATATATGCATATGTGTATGTATATGAAAATACGTATTTAAGGTGAATTTAAAGAGATTGAATATTGCTGCCTTGGAGTATCGAATTTATGACAAGCGATAATTATGTTATTATTGAGCGAATTTTGATGATTATTTATTTATAATAATGATGATGATGAAGATGATAGATTATGCCGAAGGTGATAATGCTGATGACGATGTAGATGACGGTGACGACGATGAAGAAAGTTTTCGATAATGTTTACTCTTAAAACAATAATATATTATATTAATTAAAAAAGCAAACACTATCACCCAAATTAGGCTTTAAATCATCTGTCTCACTATAATTAAAACAAATCGAAATCATGCGTTTAAAGAAAAAATATTTTAAGTGCAAAAAATGACTGGATATTAAAGAATATAGAAATTAAGAAAATAAAATAAATAAAATGAATAAAGTGAATGAAATAAATATAATAAATTGAAATGAATAAAATAAATATATGAAATAAAATAAATAAAATGAAATGAAGAAAATATTTGTAATTAAATTGAAAAAAAAATTACTTGGGGGAAATGGCATTTTTTCTTCGAGTAAAATTTTTTCACAGTCTTTTTTGTACTCTTGTGGACATTACAGTCTGTTTTATATTATATATTGTTTCCTCAAAGAGGAAGTATTGTTTTTTTGGAAACGTCTTTTGTATAGTTGATGAAGTTAAATTATTTTTTTATCCCTTTTGTTGTGTCTTGCGAAAAATAAAATAAAAAACCGTCATCTCTTCGACTTCCACAGAATGTATTCCTTTACAAGCAATAAGTTAAGGCGAATATTGTAAAGACTTCGAGTATACCTTTTTTGTATAAAAAAAGCCAGATGTGTATATTTGTAGTAGTGTAAAATTAATATTATTATTAATATTATTACAATGTAAATAGATGAATTGTCAATATAACGATGTCTCAAGAACGGCGGTGAACGAATAATAATGATGATACATTGAAGAAAAATAATTGTCTTTTCTATTTGAAAAAAACCTCTTCCAACTTAGTATAAATAATTAGTTTAAGAATTAATTAATTAATTAATTATTAATTAAAATAATAAAAATTATCAATTATTAGGAATTAAAGTTAATTATCAATTATTAACAATTAATTTTTTTAGTTTTAATCCTACGAGTTGTAGCAGAAGTAAATTTGAGAGTTATGAAAAATTTATGACTTGAGAAATTCATTTTCACCGAGTTTTTTTTATAATTCTGTAATTATGGGATTTTTTCGTTATTTTTTTGCGTTAAAAGAGAATTTAAGTTTCAGGAAAAAGAATATAGTATAGGCTCCACACTAACGAGCTCTGAATCAGTCGTAAGCACGCATTTACAGTAAACGCAAGTCTTTCCACGAAGCGATTAAATCGTTTTAAAATGGCCAGACTTTACCTCTGAATTATCAGTAATCAAGAATGCGCCGAAATCAGAAACTTAAGTTAATGAATTAATACTGCTTGATTATTACAAGTTTATAAAGAACTTAATTTAGAGAGAAAAATTTTAAGAATCCTCCTCGCGGGAATGAAAGAGTGGTGAAAAAAAGAGAATTTTTTCTCATGTAAAATTCATATATAAATTCCGCATAAATAAAGAAAATTCAGAGTTTAATAAATAAAATAAATATATTCAGTAAAAAAAATTATATTCAAGTTTAATTAATAATTAATTCCGAAAATAGAGGAATAAAAGAAATACCAAAAAGGAAAATTACAGAAAGTTTAATTTTGTAAAAAGAATTCGAGAAAGATTTCAAATATAGAATATTTTTTACAAATGGAAAAAAATGAGAAAAATTTATAGAGAAATTCTCCGATACAGGAATTTTCATATCCAATTTTCTGATGGATAAAAGTTTAAAAAAAGAAAAAAATTGAAGAAAAAAATAATTTCTTTCCGTTGAAAAGATACCCAGACTGAAATTAATTTCAGAAAACGAACACGCGAATCGAAACAGGTAATTTAAACATTACACTGAAAAATTTTTATTCGTTTCAACCTGAAAGGTCAAACGTTTACGAGTCAGCCGCAATTGGCGTTCACGCGGAAGTATTCGATAAGTCGGCAATTTCTTGCGCCAGTTAAAAAGGGAATATGACTTCCGATGTCAAGGATTTAAAATCTTCCTCCCCAATAATTAACATGAATTGCGACATAACATGAAAAACCTGTATTATTATTATTATTAACGAAATGATCGATATTAACATCGTTATTCTTATTTCTATTGAAAGAATTAGTAAAAAGGTATTTTTTATTTATTTATTTTTTTTTTAGTCGCAAACATTTATTTCTGACCGATTTATTTCGAAAGCAATAATAATTTGAGTTTCATCTTTATTCTCTTTCACAATGATTAATAGTAGAAACGCTAATTGGCGAAAATTTACGTAGGTTTTTAAACCTTCGAGAAAAAAAAAGAATCACTTCACTGGAGCATATTTATTTAAATAGAATATAATGTGTGTGAAAGTAAAATCTTTTGAGATGATTGTAGAGAGAGAGAGAGAAGAGAGCAAGAGGCAAGTTTTTAGCAACCCACGTTATAATTTTTTTGCCTACTGTAAAATTAAATTATTAATCCGCAATATAATAACGTGATCTTTGAGAAATTGTGCTGATTACATTAAAGTATTTTAGTATGAAAAATATTTTAATTATATTGGGAAATAAAAAATAGCCAAACGTGAATAATGATTATAAAAGCAAATTTACTCTATACACTGAAAAGTTTTTTCTATATTTTATTATTAATTATTAATTATTATTTATTATTAATAATATTTGTGACACGTTCGCAAGAAAGATACCTAAATGTGGCAAAGGAAAAAAAGGTTAAAAATTAGTAAGAAAATATCGTGACGTAGTTTGTAAAAACCCTTTATTGTTATTATTTAATATAAATAATTCTATAAATAAGGTAGTCCAAGTTGGGTGGGGGAAATTCAATATGGCTGACATCAGCTGATTTACCGGAGGACAAACAATGCATTGAATTCAATGAGACAAATCAGTTTTTTAACCATAACTTTTTAAATATTCATTTTTGAACCATAGTGTAATGGAAAATTATTCTTTATTTATCGAAATCTATTTTTTAAAACAATAAAACCAAAAAATTTAATTTTATTGTTTTAAAAAATAGATTTCGATAAATAAAGAATAATTTTCCATTACACTATGGTTCAAAAATGAATATTTAAAAAGTTATGGTTAAAAAACTGATTTGTCCCATTGAATTCAATGCATTGTTTGTCCTCCGGTAAATCAGCTGATGTCAGCCATATTGCATTTCCCCCACCCAACTTGGACTACCTTATTGTGTAAAAAAGTAGAATTTCCCGCACAGTGCAGCAAAGTAAAAAAAAAGTGCGCGCGCATCTGATTTCAAACGTTCGCGCCTTATTAAAGCCCAGTCCCCACGGTAGAGTCACGCATGCGCGATGTAAGACTTTAGTTTTTTTCGCGCCATGTGCGCCTCCCGCCTCATTTTTGCTCATTTTCTATTCAGTGTTCAAAGTGTCGATTTTTCCAAAGTAAAATGTTGAAATTAAAACGGAATCCTATCTTAATAATTGCCAAGTTGTGTTTAAAAGTAATATATGAAACATTTTAGTGAAACTACATGTGTATTTTTGTTAAATTCTCAATGTTTCAAGTCAACATTTTCAGTGCGTCAAAATTCGTAACCTAACCTCACTTTTTTGGACTTTTTCACAGTGTTAACGGTCATGACTTCTTTCTCGTGGTTATCAACAAGAAATATTAATTTTCAAAGTGCTGGAGAGTTTTTTACACCAATAAGATGAACTCGACGGTATCAAGTAAGATTTTTTTTCCATTTTGATAGTTTATAGTAAAAAAAATACGCCATTTCAACATCTCGTTGACCGGTCAGCTGTTTATTAACTTTATTTCCGTTATTATAATTATAACGATTATAACCAATAATATTATCATGGCTGTTAACGGCAATTACTCGGAGTTACTCCTAGGAGTGATCAGTGGTGCTCAATATTGTAACTTTATTTATTTAATGTACACTTTATTTGTAAACTTTACAATGTTGAGAACAACTGATCACTCCTAGGAGTAACTCCGAGTAATTGCCGTAAACAGCCCATATAAATATTAACTTTAGGGTTACTACATTTCAATTATCAAAAATAATTGATTCACAGAAGAATTTTAGTTAAAAACGCTTAAAAAATTGAATTTTAGAAATGTTACAACTGAGTGCAGAAATTCAATTATTTTTTCAAAAGGAATAAAATTCTTCGTAGAAATTCAATTATGTTTGAAAATTTTCCTCAATTCAATAATATTTACTGTTTTAATAAAATTTTCCGAAAGAATTCAATTATTAAAAAAAAATTAATTAAATTGTACGCAAAAATTTCATTATTTTTATAAATAATAAAAATTTCACAGGAATTAAATTATTTACTTTATAATTTTCTTTGCAATAATTTAGCTATTTTCATAAATAATAACATTTTTTTACAAGGATTCAATTATTTTCATAAATAATAAAATTTTTTTATGAATTCAATTATTTTCATAACTAATAAAACTTATCACAGAATTTCAATTATTTTTAATATAATTCAAATTGAATTCAACGAAAAATGTAATTATTTTTAAAAATAAGAATAAGAATTCAAGAATTCGTCATAAGAATTCAATTATTCAAAAATTAATTTCAGTTAAAATTTTAGATAAAAAAAATTCAATTATTATCGTAAATAATAAAATTCTTCTGAAAAATTCAATTATTTTCAAAAATGATAAAAAAATCTCGTCAAAATTTCAATTATCTTTAAATGAAGTTTCTCGAAAGAATTCAAATATATTCAGAGAATTGAAAAAAAAAATAGTTTGAGAAATTCAATTATCTCGAAAAATTTAAATAAAATTCTTTTAAAAATTCTATTATTTAAAAAAATGTTGACAAAATTCTTTACAAGTTTTAGTTAATAAAATTGCAATTTTAATAAAATTTCCCTATACAATTCAATTATTTTTAATACAATTCTTCTGAAGAATTCAATTATTTAAAAAAAATTAAAATAAAGTTATTCGCAAGAAATCAATTATTTTTATAAATAATAAAATTTTTCTCGAGAATTCAATTATTTTAAAAAATTTTGATAAAATGCTTTATATAAATTTGAAAAATTATAATAAAATTGATCATATACAATTAATTTCGTAATATATAACATTCTTCTTAGAAATACAATTATTATTGTCGATGTTTGTAAAAATCTTCAAAATAATTCAATTATTTTCGTAAAAAATAAAATTCTTCGAAGCAATTCAATTATTTAAGAAATTTTAATAAAATTCTTCACAAGAATTCAAGTCTTCTCAAAAATAAACATTTTCACAGGAATTCAATTATTAAAAAAAAATTTTTTTTTATTCTTTGGCAGATTTAAATTATTTTCAAAAAGTTTAAAAAAAATTCTGAGAAATTCAATTATTTTTAAAAATTTGAATAAAATTTTTTACAAGAAATTAATTGTTTTTACAAGTGAAATTCTTTAGAGTAATTCAATTATTTAAAAAAGAATTTTTTTTAATTCTTCGTCAGATTTCAATTATTTACAATTTTTTAATGAAATTTCTCGATGGAATATAATTATTTTCAAACAGTTTTTAAAAATTCTGAGAAATTAAATTATTTTAAAAAATTTAAATAAAATTCTTAACAATAAATTAATTATTTTCATGAATAATAATATTTTTCTCTGGAATTCAATTATTTTCACAAATAAATTTTTTCATAGGAATTCAATTCTTTAAAAAAAATTTTAATAAAATTTGTTGCATTAATTATTTTCTCATCTTAAATTTATCATATAATTTATCTTATAAGTTGTTGAATTTGAATATTTTAAAAAATTCTAATTCCTACGGAAAAATAATAATTAAATATCCTTTCTTAAAAAAGAAGTT